CAAATCAAATCAAATCAAATCAAATCAAATCAAATCAAATCAAATCAAATCAAATCAAATCAAATCAAATCAAATCAAATCAAATCAAATCAAATCATAAGTTGCAGTGAAGGCCTAAGACTCCAGTAGTGGATTGCAGTTTCAAGTCCTCCCCAGTCCTGGTTTTTCAGCCCGGCCAACTGTTTATAAGTACTCTTTTTTACTTTGTATTTGCGAAGCGCCCAGCCACACGACCAAATTTTAGCCATGCCCCACTTTAGAATACCTAACATCAAAGGATTGCAAAACATTATTTTAAGTTTGGATGTTGGGTATTTCCCTAGCGAGTTTTTTCCTTGTTTTTTAATAATTTTTTATAGTTCATGTGTTTAATACAAGGATCAAGAGGTTGTGCAGCGTTAAAAAAAATACCTGTAGTTGTAGAGGAGAGAGAACTAATCCTAAATGTTGCCCAAGTAGCTCCGCTGGGAACAGACAGGAAATGTCTCTGTATCTGTCCAGGTTTAAAGGAAACCTTAATAAAACAAAACACTAGACACATAATTATAAGCTTGGGATCAATCATTGATCTCCATCTTATGTAGACTTAATTCCTCTTCGATATACCGTGATGGTCATACCTTGTAGGGATAGCTACAATTATGGGACCAAGCATTGATCCTCAAATTTAAAAGCGCAAATATTGGATATCGAGATGAAATGTTCAAGAATTATTATTGCAGATATTGGATATCGAGATGAAACGTTCGAAATTAAAGATGCTACAAACAAAAGCTCCGATAAATGTATGAAGATTAAAAAGTCGAGTACACGGTCAATCATATTTAATGTAGACTGATAGAAACCAACCTGATGTTCTACTCCAGGTTTGAGTCCAGAACTAAGTTGCTCCGTTCTTATCACAGTTATAGGAATTTCAAATAGTTTTCCCTTTCCAGGGTTCTCAGTATCATGAGCTGTTATATAAACAGCGTGTGCTCCAGCCGGTAAACCTAAATAGAAGATGTTAAATGATAATGATCTACTAGCATATTGTATATACTAGAGTAAAGCTAACCTGTAGGACCTACACTGATCAGGAACTGTCTACAAGTATATATACTAGAGTAAAGCTAACCTGTAGGATCTACACTGATCAGGAACTGTCTACTAGTGTATATATATATATACTAGAGTAAAGCTAACCTGTAGGATCTACACTGATCAGTGATCAGGAACTGTCTACTAGTGTATATACTAGAGTAAAGCTAGCCTGTAGGATCCACACTGATCAGGAACTGTCTACTAATGTATATATATATATACTAGAGTAAAGCTAACGTGTAGGATCTACACTGATCAGGAACTGTCTACTAGTGTATATATATATACTGGAGTAAAGCTAACCTGTAGGATCTACACTGATCAGGAACTGTCTACTAATGTATATATATATACTGGAGTAAAGCTAACCTGTAGGATCTACACTGATCAGGAACTGCCTACTTGTGTATATATATTATATATATATACTAGAGTAAAGCTAACCTGTAGGATCTACACTGATCAGGAACTGCCTACTAGTGTGTATATATATATATATATACTAGAGTAAAGCTAACCTGTAGGATCCACACTGATCAGGAACTGTCTACTAGTGTGCATCAAATCAAAGTGCTCCGGATGCTGAACCCAGGCTGCAGAGCAAGAAAGCGCAAGTCGAAGGTTAAAGTTCAGTTTATCCTGTAAAATTATAATTAAATTCAATCAATCAATTTACAATTAATATAATATTTTTTTTTGTATTAAAACCAACCTTGGCGGGTCTGTTGTCTGCATCAAGAAAGAAAGGTTCGACTGAAACAGGAATCTCTGAAACCTTTTCCGCCTGAGATCCCCGCAGATAAACTCCTTTCTTAGAACCACCGTTGCAGCCGATGGCAAACCTAACATCACGCTCTGGAGCGTTTGCAAATTTAGTAAGGTGCTCAAATGCTCCTTCAATGTTTAAAAGACCATTGCCCTGTCCAAACGGGCATTGGTTCTCTAGTCTATTCGCGCTATTCTCTAGCGCACGTTTAATACTAAATGGACTCCAGGAAAGGTTCTGTGCACGAAGACCGGACATCATAAGAGCTACGCTACCGCTGACATGAGGAGCCGCCATACTGGTTCCGTTCATGAGCTGAGTACCCCGGAGAGTAAACTGCGGAACCGAGGTGATAGCTCCTCCAGGAGCACAAATTGTAACACCACGATCACCATCTGTTGTTGGACCTCTAGACGTCCAGGTGTACTGACCTCCTGATTATCAAGTAGAAAATTAAACCATCTTGTAAATTATTTGAACATGTTTTGTAAATCTATTAAATCTGTATTAATTAAAATTATTAATTTATCAAAAAAAACCTTGAAAAATGCCGTAACTTCTATTACAACCCAAAAATGGGTCATTGGAGTGACTACATCATCTTATTTAAAAAATGAAATTATTTAAAACCTTTCTAACAAATGAAATAAAAACAAGGATGGAAAAATTTTTCTATGTTCCTGGCAACTTCTGTCTTGTGGAATACATAACAGACATCATCTCTGGAGACACATAAGCTCCAACTCCTAAAAACAACAACACTTTTTTAAGATAGAAAAAACTATGATATTTTACTCGTTGCTACTTTAATAAAGGTTTGTGAATTGGATGTATCATTTTAAATAACAAGTGCAGTCCCTTTTCTTAACTAAAAGAACCTACCTATGATAACATTCTGACAAATGTCTGGCGGAGCTCCAACTGTACTAAGTGCAGGACCATCGTTTCCAGCGCTCACAACCCAGGTTACTCCGTGCTTACTCACAACCTCAGTCATTAGTTCTCCTATTCTACCGGCGTGGGACCAATGGGAGTGCTCGCCGTAAGACATGTTTATCACATCAACCTAAATATTAACGGTTTAAGTTCTCCTATTCTACCGGCTTGGGACCAATGGGAGTCCTCGCCGTAAGACATGTTTATCACATCAACATAAATATTAACGGTTTAAGTTCTCCTATTCTACCGGCGTGGGACTAATGGGAGTGCTCGCCGTAAGACATGTTTACACGTCAACCTAAATATTGACGGTTTAAGTTCTCCTATTCTACCGGCGTGCGACCAATGGGAGTGCTCGCCGTAAGACATGTTTATCACGACAACCTAAATATTAACTGTAAAAGTTCTCCTATTCTACCGGCGTGAGACCAATCACATCAACCTAAATATTAACGGTTTGAGTTCTCCTATTCTACCGGCGTGGGACCAATGGGAGTGCTCGCCGTAAGACATGTTTATCACGTCAACCTTTATTTTAAATGTACCGTCGTAAATCGGGCGTTGTCATGTTTAAATGAAGGGTCATGTGAAATAAAGCGTACAGTGCCATTCAATTCTAATTTTTTTTTCTCCTCTGTTCGATTGAATATTTTTATTAAAATATAAATCCTAGTCCGGAATATGAGTCTCTCCCCCCATCCTCCGATATCTTGTAAGTTTGTACACTTGAAACTGTAATGCCAATCAATAAGTAATAGAACTTGAACACATATTTAAGATTATTGACATACAAAATTAATAAAACCTTTAAACTTTTAGAACAATTTGTAGAACGTGCGCTGTGTCCATGTGATTTAAAAACTGTTGTATTTTTGACCGTTATTGTTTATTAAGGGGGGGGGGGGGCATTTCTCCACAGTCCCCATATCTCACCTTATAATGTTCTCCTCTCATAATATGAGACATTGCTCTAGCCAAAGCTGTTCCTGTTTCCATTGAGCTGAGTCTACTGTCTCCTACTGATATAGACACTATCTGAGCACCAGGAGCCAACCCGTTCTAAACAAGAAAATCCAATTAATTATTAATTAATCTATATTTGACTTGTCTGTTTGAATACAAGTCTAAACTGAATAGAACCGGGCAAATTTAGTTTTTTTCTCTCTAATTCAGAGACCGAATGAAATTGGGATTTAGCGTTCACCTTATCAGGGTCGTCTGGGAAGCAGGCAGCTGCTATACTTGCTACATGAGTTCCATGCGGACTTGGCATACTTACAATCTCAAGCAGGTTTCCTTAAACAATAAATTCAAGTTAGAGAACCTTAGATATAAAATTAATAAATATTAAAATCTACAGTCAGATCCGAAAGATTCTGGAATTGAAATACGACTTTAGATTCAAGGATTTTGCGGGCCACTCCTGATATCCTCATCATAAACCTACCTGGAGTCCTGGACCACTCCTGATATCCTCATCATACTCCTACCTGGAGTCCTGGACCACTCCTGATATCCTCATCATACTCCTACCTGGAGTCCTGGACCACTCCTGATATCCTCATCATACTTTTACCTGGAGTCCTGGACCATTCCTGATATTCTCATCATACTCCTACCTGGAGTCCTGGAACTAGTGAGTAAACAGTCAAATAAACATGAGAGACATCAATTGTATAGTGTAAATAAGTTATTAGTAGAACTATCAAATGCACTTGATTACTGCTATAATGTCGCCTTCCTATTCCACAGTTTTCTGGGTTTCTGCTAACGGAACAATAAAATAATGTTAATACCTTGGTCATAAATATTTACACTGACATTTACACAATCGGATTCTGAGAGTTTTCCATACTCCAATGTTTCTCTGTATACTCCCAGGTTTAAACCTAAAATTAAATTAGTATTAAAACAAAATGGCTGTAATATGACTTCTGAGGTAAATCAAATATTTTTTGCTGAGGAAAAAAATTAAAAAATTTAAAATTAACAAGTTTACCATTCTTTTATAGATTATTCAATAAATTTATTTTTTCATTAAAACCACTTAATTCCCCTAATTCAGCAAATAAAGCCCTGAAAGAAATTTTGCGCTCCGGGAAACCATAGGGAATATCTGAGATAAAAAGATTTGTTAAAGAAGGGGGGGGGGGGGATATGACCTTTTTTTTTGGAAAAATAAATGATTTTTGGGCTAAAATTAATATTTTTTTGGAAATAATTATAAAAATAAACATGTTGCAAGTTGTTTATAATCTGTCTTATTTTTTATTCAAAAATCGAGATCAAAATTCTTTAAAATAAATATCCCAAAAAAGAAAAGATCTTTGCTCAGTGTCAATGCTCAATATCTACCTTTACTAAGATCTCCTTGTTCTGAAGTATCAATAGCAGCTCTCCATGATTTGCCTGTATACCAGACTAAACAGTCGTAAACTGGACCAGGATCAGAAAACCAATGTGCTGTACTTCCGTCCCTGAATAGTGTATAATCAATCAATCAATCAATCAATCAATCAATCAATCAATAAATCAGTTAATCGACCAATCAATCATATAAAAATGAAGAAAAAACAAGAAAATGTGTAAGTTAAAACAACTATCAGATTCATATTAAGTTAAGTACTGTGTAAGCTGGAAAAATAGGAATTATACTTAACAAAAAAGGTAATACCAACGTAAATATTCAAAAAACCAGAAAACACTTGAAAGAAAAACCAAGACTAAACTTATTTATGATGTCTTTTGATAGGATACTTGCCTAAATTTTTTGTCCAACGATGTGACTAACTCTAACTCTGCTTCCATGTTTTCTTTTACCAGCTTGTCATGCAGAGAACATTGTTCACCTTCCTTCTCAGTTTCATTTTCATGCAGTTTCCGAACTGCTTCTGCTAATGCACTTTTGTGCCCTGAACAGAGAATATGAATTTGGATAGAAGAGAATTAATAGTATTTAACGGTTAGATAATGTTTAGAAATAATGAACAACATTGAAGTCCTCTAACATACACTTAAAATGCCAATAGAATATGACAGAGATTTTCTCAACAATACATTTATGATTAAATGATTAAAGTAAAACGATATTTCGACACTTTCGTACAAATGAGGATATTATAGAACTATTAGAACTATTAGAAAAGGAATCTGAAAAAGAGGTCCCGTTATGAAGCCCCCAGACCGCCGGCAGGCATGGGAAGCACCGTCCCACACTTCTTACTGGCTTACCATCGTCCCAAAGCTTCTCTCGGCGTTCTGCAAGTACCCTATCTTTCAGATTTCTAGGGTACAGATCAAATGCGTTCTTTACTCCAATATGCCATTGTCCGGACGGGTTCTCCCAGTCTGCCGGCAAAGTCAGACTTCGCCCGGTCAAACCAGTGATTTTCCCATCCTTTGCTTCAACAACGGTTGAGGTAGCCACATCACCAGACCCACTGCCGTCATATCTAAACAATTAGCATATTAAAAACTACCGGAAAAAGTCAAGAGTGCATGTTTATCAAAATATATTTGCGAATAAATTACCAGAATCAATCTTTTTTTCATAGAGGGTGCATATAAGGAAAAAAAATTTTACCACTCAAAAAACAAAAGGAGTATAAGAAAAAAATCACCTGTCAATTAGTTTAGGTTTTCCGTCGCTCGTGACCTGCATACCACCTGCAGCAGGGTCAACTCCTACAATTTATAACTCATCAGCATTCAGAGCAAAAATTACAGTTATTAAAAATAAACAGAAAATGATCTTTTCAATGCTCTTTAATAATTTATTGCGCCGGTGATTCTTAAATGGCACTTTACACTGATACGAGACAGGATTTCACAAGGAAAGGGAGCGTGGGGATGCCTAATCATTTCAGTTGGGTTGTTTTAACCCCTCTACCCCTACACCTCTAAGGGTGTATATTTCTTGAAAATTCCCCCCCCCCCCCCTTGTGAGATAATTGTTTTTACCACAAGTATTAAAAAAAATTGTTAAGTAAAAGAATCAAAAAGGATAAAATTTAAGGGAGGGGGAGTTTTGAAAATATCTACTCCTCAATTTAAACAAATCGAATAATTAGAGAACGATTTTTGGACCCCCCTCCCCCCTCCTATTAATTTTGTACATGGTATATAATATATATGGATATAATTTATCATGTGGCCGCAGCGTCCGGCCCCCTAGCCTGTTCTAGCCGCGGCGCTCGGCCCCCTATCCTGTCGAAGCCGCAGCGCTCGGCCCAGAAATTGTATTAACCTAACGTAACCCTAAAATGATAAATAAATAAATAAATAATAATAATAATTTTGCTTAAAACTAAGTGGTCATGTACAACATTGATAGAAGGGGGGGGGGGAGTCCAAAAATCGTATACCAGGACGGACTCCGAAAGTTTATCAGGGAATACTAGTCCAGTTAGCTAATTAATTGAATAAGAATCGTCATTATTTGCATTCTAACTTCTGGGTAATTTCCTAGAGAACGATTTTTGGACAGCTTCCCCCCCCCCTCCTATCCAACCTCTGACCTGAATCAAAAATGGCAATAATTGTCCCTCTTCCATCATATTCAGGATACTTAGTGAGAAATGCCGTGGCTCCGGTCTCACGTCTCGGCTGTAGAGCCCAGCAAGGAAATGCGTCCGACATTTTCTCCAAATGCAGATTTCTGAAATTTAAGTCTTTTAAAATAATAATTCGACAGAACACAATTTTAGTTAAATAATTTGTATTTCAGTAAACGTTCAATAGATGTACAAAAAATCAAATAATGGCTAAAAAGCATACTTGTAATCGGATCGATGATGACTTGCCGGCCTTTTACAAAGATAATAAGGCGTTTTAGAGAATATTCTGACAGCGCCAGTCATTTTCAAACAAATTATTTGGTTTGGATTTGCAAAGTGTCAGAAAAAGAAAAAAAACAATCAAGCTTAAAGCCTTAAAAAACACTTTTAATGCCTTTTACTTATCAAAATCTGACGCTTACGCAAGGCACGCAGGCGTCATCACGACTTGTTTCTTGTTTATTTATTCGAAAACCACCAGAATTTCACCTGCCGAAGTTTTTAAAAGTTTGAAGACGACAGTATCGACATTAAAAATATCCCGCGGTATTTTACAAAATCTTGACTCTTGAGTTTGAAAATACCGCCAAGTTTCTTGTAAGTTGTAATTCATTTCAAACAGGAATAGGGTCGATTTATTTTTCTGCAATTTTGCAAAGATTGGTAAATTTTAATTTGATAATGGACTTGGAGCGAATAAAAGTCTGGCTGCGAGATGAACTAAAGTACAACAAGAATATTCCAGATGATGAAAAGGTAAAATGTTGAAATTGGAAGTTTCAGATGAGATATACCAGAGAGCACGTACATATCGTTTTACGGTACGTTGATACGTTGATAGTTTCTCCGCCAAGGTCCTGCATCATGCAAGAATGAAGTGGTGGGTCAGGTCATCATTTATTTATCTGGATCCATGGCTGCATTTCCATACTCATCATAACTGTTTTTAAAAGCATATAGGGTCATGGACCCCTTACCAGCCTTTAACAACTCTAATAGAAAAAAAGTTTTTTCTTATGTCCAGGTTTGTTCTCTTCATCTCCAGGTTGAATATAGAGGAATTCAACCTTGTGCTAACTTTAGAGTCTGAATTAAACCTAGTAAACCAGGTTTTTTCGCGAACATCATCATGCTGGTGCAATATTTTCCAGGTTTGTGTCATGTCACCTCTTCTTCTCTCCTCTAGGGAGGGTAAGCATAATTCTTTCAGCTTGGCTTGGTAGGTTCCTGGCATCAGTCTTTGAGCATATCCAGTCGAAACAAAAATATAAGATTCTCACTCCTGTCACATGCTTAGCTCTTAATAGTCACATAATCAGAATCTATTTGGGTCCGTCCTTATATACGATATTTTGATCCCCCCCCCTGCTAGGACAGACTAGGTGGCCGAGCACCGCGGCTAGACCCGGCTAGGGGGCCGGGCGCTGCGACCACATGACTAACTTTATCCATGTATCAAATATGAAATGTATGTACAAAATTAATAGAAAGAGGGGGGGGTCTAAAAATCAGTCTCTAGGAAATTACCATTTATTTAGTTGCGCTTAATATGGCGTGCATTGCAAGCATGAACGGTTAAGACATTTTGTATTTGTTTAGCTTCGTTTTGTTTGTGGGGGTCGTGTCCAAGAGGTGTGGGAGCATCTTCTCCGATCCTGCCGGAGTCCAGAAACAGTTCATTATATTAAAGGAAACCTGGAGATCAACAGAAGGAAATACAATCATCTAGATAATTCTAAAAGGTATTTATTCTATTGACTGACACGGGTATTTATCAATATACGATTTATGTTCCCCCACTCTTAAAACAAAATTGTATTTATTTAAAAGAAGAATAATTTCATGAATAATACCAACCCCACTTTTAAATCATTTCAAAACAAGGGAAAATGATAGGGAGGTGAATTATAAAACGAAGTCCAGCATCTCGGTGTTTTAGTGTATCCTCAATAAATTTGTCTGTGCGAGGGGATGGAGGAGAACGGGAAGAATTGCTCTTGGAGCGGAGTAGGCTTGTTTCTAAACTGCATGAAGTTATCGCGAAAATTGACAGGTGCTATGCTTAAAGTTGCATTGGATTTTTTTAATTCGTAATTAATCAATCAAAAAAAGTTGCCCATGGGAAATCCGAATTAGTGCTAGGATTTAACGGTCCCGGGTTATCGTACTGCACACTAGCAAGTTTTATACACCAAAAATTTAGGCTGGTTGGATACATGTTCTACTGCTTCTAAAAATCATTGAATTAATAGTTTATTTGAAAATTGACTTGATTTCATATTTCTAGTGTTAAATCTGGACTGAAAGCATTAGAAGAAGAAAGAAGAACTGTACACAATAATGAGGAAAATATCATAAATTACAACAATTTTAAGATTAATATATAGCAATATTTAGTGGTAAAATATTCTAAATTTTCAAAATGTTTAAACCTCTGATATTTGAAGGAAGAGTACAAAAAAATAATAAAACAGAAGCGACAAAGTGCTACATTGCTTGCTTTGTACATGAAACAGGTTGGTTAGTTTATATTAACTAAGAATTATATTTAGAGAAAAATATTACGTTGATGGAATAAATAAAATGTCAATTACTATTTACGAATTTAAGGAAAAACTAAGATTATTAGAATATTCAATAAAAAAGAACTTGCTTAAGTTTTATTTTTGGGGTTCTTGAGGTAAAGAATAATTTTGAACGAGACATTTATTTCATGATTAATTCTTCTTGTCAGGTTAGTGGAAATATAGCGCAGTTGAACTCTGTAGTGGAATCAATGAAGGCTGTGGACGCTCTTTACAAGGAGAAGGAGAAGGCTATCAAGGTATTTTTGGACCAGGAGTTTAGAGTTCAAGAAAGTCGTCTTAAAAGTATTGGTCATCCAAGAGTTAGTATGTGATGAGTTGGTCTGTCAAGAGTTGGTTTGTCAGGAGTTTGTCTGTCAAGGGTTGGTCTTTTAAGAGTTGGTCTGTCAAAATTGGTCTTCCGCGAGTTTGTCTTCCAAGAGTTTGTCTTTCAAGAGTTTGTCTTCCAAGAGTTTGTCTTACAAGAGTTTGTCTTACAAGAGTGGTCTTTCAAGAGTTGGTCTCACAAGAGTTGGTCTTCCAAGAGTTGGTCTAACAAGTGTTGGTCTTATAAGAGTTTGTCTTACAAGAGTTTGTCTTCCAAGATTTGGTCTGTCAAGAGTTAGTCTGTCAAGAGTTGGTCTTCCAAGAGTTGGTCTTGCAAGAGTTGGTCTATCAAGAGTTGGTTTTTCAAGAGTTGGTCTGTCAAGAGTTGGTCTGTTCAAGAGTTTGTCTTCCAAGAGTTGGTCTTACAAGAGTTGATCTAACAAGAGTTGGCCTGACAAGAGTTGGTCTGGCAAGAGTTGGTCTGAAAAGAGTTGGTCTGACCAGTGTTGGTCTTACAAGAATTTGTCTGACAAGAGTTTGTCTTCCAAGATTTGGTCTGTCAAGAGTTGGTCTGTCAAGAGTTTGTCTGTTCAAGAGTTTGTCTGTCAAGAGTTGGTTTTTCAAGAGTTGGTCTCACAAGAGATGGTCTTCCAATAGTTGGTCTAACAAGGGTTGGTCTTACAAGAGTTAATCTAACAAGAGTTGGTCTGGCAAGAGTTGGTCTGACAATAGTAGATCTAAGAAGAGTTTGCCCTTTCGATGTTTGTCTAAGAGTTGGCCTCCCAGGATCCGAGTTGGTCATGGTGTCGTATTTTTCCAGTTATCTTACTTCTCATTCCTTATATATTTGTGTTTATTTACAATGAATTACAGGGTGAGCAGGTTTACAGTCTAGGATCTGGAGTGGAGAGTGAGGGAGAAAGGAACCTGAGATTAAGCTTGGAGAAAACCTTGAACCATATGCTATCAGTCCTAGAGGAGTCTGGAGCACCAGGGTATGTTTTAAACTATCGGTCTAGGGTAAAAAGACTTGGTTAAGCATGACAAAATATCAGGGTTGCAGGTTAAAAAGCGAATTATTTTTATTAAATACATTATCAATACTCGTAGAGAAAAAGGTTTAAACAAGTTTGGGAATGGTAGGGTCTTCACACGGAGTTTTTAATGACATTGTATGGCACAGGATTTACAGTAGAACATGAAACAAACATTAAACACTTCACTTCATAAGTGAATTAGTGAAAATTTGCAGATTGATGGAATCATAAGATTCTTAAATTATCTAAAAAAGATTAACATTAACATATGATAGTCAATAAAAAAGTAGAAGAAAAAAAGAAAAGAATAAATACTAAAAATAAAAAAATAAAAATAAAACACAAAACAAATCTAATAAATCGTTTCCAATGCCCCTTCCCCCATTCATTGCAAATTATTACTTCCTCCCCATGGCGTTGGGGGGTAATTCTTTAAAATATTATAAACATACACATATCTAGGTCCCGCCAAGTACTACGCTCTGATATATTAAACTTACTCTCCCGGCTTCCAGCTTGCTCTGTAGAGAAAGCTGTTATCAAGAATATTCAAACCCAGGTACTGTAGACGTATTTTTTAAATGGTTTGTCTCATTCACATCTGACATGCAACCCTTCAAATGGGAGGGTCACTGAAGTTTTGTCAACTGGCCCTTTATTTAATAATCAAATTTCGTTCTGTCACTAAGTTTATATTTGATACTTGATTCTCGATGTATTATACGGCTGTCAAGAATATCTTGATATCGCCTTCTGTTGTTATCTATATACATAGATTTATTATAATCGGATTTATTCGATGCTTTTTATCATTATTAATTATTTGGTCATTTCATCGTCCAAAGTTCATGTTAAACTTAAAATATCTTTCAACTTCGCTTGATGGAATATTTAATTCCAAGTTGCATACTGAATTCATAAATAAGATTTTTTTCAAAGGAATAAAAAGTATTAAAACCTGATAAATGATCAACTTAATTTCATCTCTACTCTTTTCTCAGGAAGAAAACTTGCTTCTTTACATATGCTTTGCTTGTCTGTCTGTCTGTTTATTCGTATCCAATAAACGTAGATCGGGTCTACATTTGTTTGGAAACTCATGTGACAACGAACTATTAACACAGAAAAATGGCAGCTTACAGAACAATTTTTAACAGCTAAAATTGTTATTGGAAAAGAGTTGCTAAGTTTAGTAAATTGTTGTGGTATGATGGCGTAAAACAAATATCTCCATTTTAAGATAAGCAGTATAGCAGAGATGAGAGCAAAATTGGATCTGGTTGAAGAAGCAAGAAACCTTCAAATACAGGTTAGATTAGTGAAGCAAGCTAAAATTGAATGAAAAATCGGATTTAATTGATAAATTATAAGTAAAAGTTTACAGTTTTTTTTGTGTTAGACAAATAAAGTTTGAGGATTGAAATTTTATAACAATTAAACGAAATATTGTTTAATGTTAAAATTCTCAAAAAAGGTTCCGAGATTAAGAAGTTAAAAAATAACTGTATTAAACTGATGCCGGAGCTCATAGGAGTAAGCCCCGATGGCGGTTTGGGCTCTCTAAGATGGGAGAGTTTTCAGATCCTCCCTTATCTTATCTTATCTTATCTTATCTTATCTTATCTTATCTTATCTTATCTTATCTTATCTTATCTTATCTTATCTTATCTTATCTTATCTTATCTAGGCCAGTGCTAGAGCTGAAGGAGGGATTATATCTTCAGTAAGAGGCGAGGTTGATAATCTCTATTCTAAACATATATCCTTAAACCAAGACCTAGAGAAAGCAAAGGTAGGTTGATAATCTCTATTCTAAACATATCTCCTGAAACAAAGACCTAGATAAAGCAAAGGTAGGTTAATAATCTCTATTATATCATATCTGTTCGGTTCCATAGTAGTAAATGGTCATCCAAGAGTTAGTATGTGATGAGTTGGTCTGTCAAGAGTTGGTCTGTTCAAGAGTTTGTATTATTTTTTAATATAATTTCTTGGGTATGTGCCCATGGAACCTCACAAATATGATATAATACTATTCTTATGAGGATAAAAATGTAATAATGGTATTCTTAAACTCGATGAAATAATCTTGATGCATTCTTTAACTCAGGCCTGCGGCCTTCGTTAAAGAATACATCAAGATTATTTCATCTCGTTTAAGAATTTCCATTATTACATTTTTTTCCCCATAAGATTATCATATTCTAAACATATCTCTTTAACCTAAACCTAGAGAAAGCAAAGATAGGTTGACAATCTCTATTCTAAGCATACAGGGTTTCCCACATCATATCAGATCGTTTATAGCTCTAAATTGCGATTTTCGGGACTAATCAGAAAATTAAAATACAATGAATCATTTAAAAACTCTTTAAGGCGAATATAAAAATTTGTATGCGGAAAATACTAGGATTTTCGAGTATTATCTGCGTATTATGGTGTCGGATATTAGTTACTAAAACCCATATAGACAGGGTAAGTGGCCTTAGGCCGTATTTAAAGAATTTGAGCCGCGGCTTAAATTTAAACCGCGGCTCAAATATGGTGGGTTCCACTTAAAATCGTATTCATTGCTTCAAGATTTAAGCCGGTGCACATTGAACCCTGTTTTTCGCGGATTTAAGACGTGGCTCAAATTCACTTAATCCGGACACTGGAGCTTAATCCTGGAGCTCAATGTAACAAACCTCAATTAACCTACAGGAAATGATACTTTAATTGTAGGTTGAATGATAATAGTAATAATAATAATACTTCTCTACTAATAAAGATTATATTGTAGAAATCTTTGTTATTGCATCAGAAGGAACTCGAATCTACGCTAAAGTCGAATAGGTAACAATCTTAGTTCACAGCTTGCCGCAACATTTCTTACGTTTATTTTAATCTTGTCTTGTTCCAAAATAGTAATAGATGGAATTAATTCAAATTGCACGAGTCTTCTTCACGAATACATGTACAGGGAGAACATTGGAAATATGGCAGACCTAGAAGCAGAGTTGGTTCATGCTAGAGATATAGCAGCTAAGGAATTTTTTGTGGCAGAGGTAAACTATTATTTTATAAATACTTAATAAACTTGCAAGGACACAAGGTTGATTGGTTATTATTGTTTTGTTAAAAGCATAACCTTGGCTACTAATCTCCTACCTGACTTTTCCTGACTCCTCCCGACTCCTGGTTTTCCAGGTTGAGAGGTTGAAGCAGCAGTTGATTGAATTGGAAGGAAAGAAGGAGGATCAGAAAGAGATGATCAACTGGGTTCGTGGGGCCGAATCAAGAATACAGGTTCTATTTTTCATAACAAATTTAGTTTGGAGGGAAATTTTCGAGGTTCAAAACATCTTGATTCCCATGCAGAAAATCTTATTATCAAAACACAAATCACATGATTAATGAATTATAATGAAATGGATCCTACTCCACTGTGGAAAATGTAAAAAAATCCCTCCTTGTACCTGCAGCTAACAGCCCCCTCTCCCTTGCCAAGGTCAAAACAAATCCATTGCTCCAAATTAAACAGTTATTTGTCCAAGGGAATGACCAGCCTGATATCCCAGCTCATGGATTATAATAAGCAAGGTGCTGATAAGCTTGCAGGAAGACAGGTAGACAATAGACATTTCAGGAAAAAATAATAATTTTGAAAATTTTAAGGAAAAGTTGGACAATTTTTTGTAAAAGTTTGGACGAAAAGTTCTATTGAAAAGGTACATCCCAATAAATGTTTGATTTCAGACTGCTAATCTAGAACTCCTAAACAGCTTACAAGGTCTGCAGGAACGTATTGGAGCTTGTCTCGATGCAGGACAGGATCAGCCTGCTCAGATACTCAAAACTTTTCTTAAAGCCCCAGGTATAGAACAAAGTTAGCAATTAAAATTAACAGTGCTTGGATTTATAAACTTTGAAAAAATGGATAAACTTAAATTTTTAAAATTTTCTTTAAAAAAAATGTTGCGTTTTGAATATTTTATCAAATATTTAACTTATGTAGTTGAGAGGTTCAGCTCAACTCTTGTGGAGAACAGGACGGAATCCAACTTGATTCCTACTCCGAACCTATCCATATACAGACTCCGGTCTGGCTATCCGTATCCTGGTCCCGGGGAGAACGGAGTAAACAAAGACGGATTCCTTGTTTCCCAGAACTCCAGACAGGATTTATGCTTCCAGGTTTCAAATCTTCTCTCCCATGTTCAACAGCTAAAGGAGGAATACAAGGTAGTATATATCAGTTTATGTTAAACAATTCTTTGTTAATCCATTAATGATCTAGGTATTCAAAATTGGGACATGGTTCAAATTGGTCGTGTGACTGGGAACTTCGAAAAGAAATAAAAAAATGTGGACATTTATTTGTTAAAATAAGTCATGGCTAAAAAACCAGGAATTTGAACTGGAGAGAAAAACACGCTTACTTTTTTATTAGTAATCATTTCTGTACAAAATCTGTGATTTTTGCTCATACTCTTATAACAGGGAGAAAGGATCAGCTTACAAAATCAGTAGATGATACTACGTTGGTTGATAGGACAGACCCTTGGACTAAGAGAGTGCAATCTTTTCTGGAAGAGGTTGGCATACAGGACCTGAAGAATATCTCCAAGAGTATGCTCAAGAGACGGATGCGGGAGCATCATGTTTCCCAGCTTCGGCAGGCGAAAGCAGGACACTCTTCACTGCGATGGCTGACAGAGCCTAGGGACTGGTTCAAACTACAGTCTCATATAAATGATTCAAAACAGTGTGCAGTTTTGAGCCGGGTGAGAGCAGGTGATACAGGCCTGGGAAATCGCCGTCCCAATCATCTGGGTTTGACGTACAAAGTGTCTTTGGTGCTCTGCAGTGGGTATCAGGGTGCTGCTGAATGAATTGCATGTCATCCATGAATGTCTGGGATCAGGGCATGCAAGGCGGGCCACTGGAATCTATGCTTTCCTGGAGGCCCGGCTTCCAGTAATGACTGAGCATGCTATCATGAAAGAATTCCTGGGGGGGGGTTGGGGGACAGGGCAGACGTTGTTACAATGATGACGAAGGGATTGGACCTTGACAGTCTTTGAAGAGTGGAAATTAGCAACCACTCAGCTTTAAACAGGTAAGATTGGGTTTAGCTAGTGATAGGCTGTTGCAGGGTACGCATCCTGACAATGATCACGCCTTTCCTCCAGTTGTAGGTGGCCGGGCTGGTTCAGGATTTTTCTTACCGGTATGGGTCGGATAGTCCTGTAGGCGGTCTGGGTTGCCCAAGATGGGGCTTCTTGCAGATCTCATCTCACATAATCACATAATCAAATATCTACAATATCAGGTGAGATTAACATAAAATATAATTTGTATAGAATCTGTCGGAAACCAGGAAAACCGGAGATACTTTGTCCAATCTTCTCCAACTAGCGGATACACTGAAACGATGCAAATCACAACAGGTTTGGATTTTAAATAGCCGATTTAATTTGACAAAATTATAAATTATCTTTAACTATTAAATGTTTCCTTTAACACAGCAAAATGTCAGACCTAATTACTAAAAGGGATAAAAATTCACCTATTTTTCTTATTTGATTTTAATTCGATGATTTTGAGCTACAAAATGATAATGGCCAGAAAACAAGATTATACAGTTAATGGTTTCCAGTCATGAGCTATGCGGGCTATGGCACTAAGTACTCCCACTTGTGCTAGCATAAACCATTGCTCGGTGTGAGGGGTGGAGTTCCATCACCTCTAGATGGACAGGCACAAATAGAAATAAATAAATATTTATTCAAGTGGATTTTTTGTTAAGATAAATGATTTCCTGCCCCTGCTGGTTGAAACCGACAAGATGAGGCGGGATGGTGTCGAGGCTGGGAACAGGGTGGAGAATGCCCTGGTTGAGTGGGAAGAGCAGGGTTCAGGTCGGATAGTTGGGACGGATACAGAGCTCCAGGTTGAGGGTTTATCCCTCACACACTGGGAACAGACCCTGAGAGTAGCGCTAGCTCAGAAGAAATAAATGAACAAAGATTTCCATTTAAACGTGAAACATTTTAAATTTGATGGCCTAATGATAAAGAAGAATTAAGTTAACATCTATGTAATTGTAGATTTATCATACTTTAAGTTGAACACTTTTATTTAAAATATTTATGTTCCTTGTTAATTAAATGATATTTTACAGATTTACAATGATTTCAACGCCTAAAAAGAAATCTCAGAATCCTGTTCCGCAGCCTGACCGAGGTGAGATCTTGAAAGAATAAAGAATATTTGGAATCCAATGAAAGGAATACGTAATTGAACTACGTAGACTTAGTTGAACCACTTCTTTTAAACTGGAACCGGCGCACATAATAAGTGGCTTAACTACTTTTCACTTTTTAATAAAGCTGGTCTAAGTTAACTTATGAAATAGGGTGTTTCAAAATTCAGTCACCCTCTTCTCCTTCAGGAAATATTTCATTATTTTCAAGATGATTCACTAGATCTCATATAGACCAGGGCAAGTGACGGAGCTCAACTCTATCTTTCATTGTATTACAACCTACAAGCCATGGTACTTTGTCTGTAGGTTGATCGTTAATAATAAGAAGAAGAACAGAAAATGGATTGGATTTTAAAATCAAAATTAAAAAATGTTTAATATAAGACGATCGGGGGAATAAATGGACAAAAACATAGAAAAAAAGATTAAACAACCTGGTTGATAACTCGAACAAAATCCATTCTTAAATAAATGAATTTAATATGTTTAGGTCAGAACGTTCAGGTGTTCGTGAGATGTCGCCCCTTAAACAGCATGGAGAAGAACATTAAGTCCTACAGTGTGGTTGAGTTGCCGACCAACAAGGAGGTTGTTGTCAAGGGTATGCCTCTCAACCTCTACAGCAAGGAGTTCCACTATGACAGGTACCTCAACGTTAACTCAAATTATTGGGTATAAATATGTTTTTCCCTAGCTTATAACGGTAATTCCTGAACTTATTCAATAAAAAAGATTTTAAAAAAAGAGGTGAAAAATTAAAAATTGAAAATTAAAAATTAAAAATTAAAAATTAAAAATTAAAAATCAATTAAAAAAATTTTAAAAGAAGATAATAAAAAAAAGATAAAAATTAAAACAAAGAGGGTTTGAAAAAGGATTTCGAAGCGCTCCGAACCATTAATTGAATTAAAATCATAAATGTCAATATTTTTAGAGTATTTGGTCCAAGTTCAACTCAGAACGAAGTTTACACCAACGTTGTTTCTCCATTGATTGAACAGGTAGGAGTTAGGGAGATATCTCAATAGCAACAGGACATTCAAACTTAACCGGGTTGGAAATGAATTTAGAATTTTGGTTCTATCCTAATATCTTTTTAACCTATAGTTGTAGGCCTTTGATATTTCAAAGCAAGAAACTTGTTTAATAAAATCATCAAAGTTTGAAGTATCTAAGGTTTTCACTTTCAGGTTGCAAAATTATAGGGATTAGAGGGATCTGAGGCTTTTTATTAATTCTTTCCTTTTTCCATTCTGTTACTTTTTTTTCAAAACAATGTTTTTAGGTTATACAAGGATACAACTGTACAGTGTTTGCCTATGGACAAACCGGTTCAGGTTAGTTTTCTATGTTTTAAAAATTACGTTATATTATATTTCAAGATTATATTTTTTTAAACATTTTCTTACTAAAAACTTATCAAAAATGATAATAATGGTTGTTTTTAGCTCAGTTTAAATTGATTTTATCAGGAAAAACCTACACAATGGAGGGAGGTGAGTACAGAATTTCTAAGAAGCCCTGGGATTCAGAGTCCGAGTCAGGTCAGCTACTTTTCATTTCCTCAACTCCTGGTTTAATTTTCTTGTTGATTATCGTAAAATTTGTCCATATTTTCAGGAATTATTGTCCAAGCTCTGTGCCAGATATTTGATGATCTGAGAACAGCGCAGGATACTGAATTCTCAGTCAGGGTAGGTTCAACAATAAAACATTTCAATTAAACAGTTTCATCTCCTACTCACAACGGTACCCGTTAAACATTGGTAAGTAACAATCAGGAAAATTTCGTCTTTTTTCTACCTTCATAAATGTTTTCTTTAACAAATTATTTTTTTTAATTTAAAAAAGTTTTTATAAAAGATAATTACACACATTATTTAAATAATATTAACGTATTCCAATTTTTCCCACTTTGAGATTTTTGGGTCCCGGGACCCTCCCCCTGGGGGGGGGGAGGGAGGAGGGGAATCCCAGGACCCCGAAAACCCCAAGTTGGAACAACACCCCAACATTTATTTTTTATTTTTTTCGAAATAATTGGTATTAGAAATTGTCCGACATTCTTCTTCTATTTATTGGTTCAGAATTCTGCTAATCTCTGCTTCTTTTTTAATTCTGATATTTCTGGTTCTGATATATTGTTGCAAGGAAGTTTAGCTCATTATATGTTTCTAAATTCTGTATCTCAGCTGCTGACATTGAACCCATGAACAACAATAATAATAAAATAATAATCCTTGCAAGTTTTCTGGAAATTTCTATCTCAGCAGGTTTGTAGATTGTTGAATGTTGATGACTTAGCTCTGTTGAAGGGTGAGGAAAGAAAAAAGAACACTGCACCAAACGTGGAATTTTGAAAATTTAAAAGGACCCAATGTCAGAATCTCCACTTGTCAACAATGACAAATGTGATAAAAGGAGTTTTGGTTAGGAGTAGATAATCAACAGTTGGAGTCTTGAAACTGATGTATAAGAACATCTTGGGCAGTACGTGCATTAAGAAGATCCGTTGTTGATGGATATTAACATGTTTCCCATGGGTTGTAGGTTTTTCTTAAAAACTGGCTAACCAGACCTGTTTCTAAAAAGTGCAAGTCGAGCTTTTCCATAGCAAGTCTATACCCAGAGAGGTAAAAAACCTCTGTTCTCCAGGATAATACAGCGTTGACTTATGAATGCAGGCACTCCTTGTTGATTATCTTGTTTTCCTCATCAATTTTTCTTTTTACCATAAGTTTCTTATGTGTGTACGTTTAACTTGGATTTGCCATTTTCTCTGTCTCCCTGTACTCCTAGTTACTGTTAAAAGCGCCTCTGCAAAGACATATGTCCTGCTTTGAGGAAAGCTAGAATTGAACTGACCTTAAAAATGTGTAATCTCACAATTTTCTTACATGTCTCTGACTCTGTTCTGTTGTGAAACGGCCATGCGGATTCTATGAATTCTATGAATTACGTATATAGTCCTTTTTAAGCCAACTTTATAAAGGCATGTAAGTAACCAAGTTTATAGCTTTGTTAAACAAATGAAACTCAATACACGTAACTATTTTCTTGGGTAATGTGCATTGTGCACTGAGCTATAATGGATTTGAACCAATGTTAGTTTGTAGTTGTTTTTCGGAAGCCCTAAATTGAAAAAGGTTTTACCCCGGTAATATGAATTAAATATTTTATATATCTGTATAGTGAATTTTCTTCTTTTACTTAAAAGTTCCGTTGGAACTTTTGAAATGACGAAACTAACTTACATCGGTAGAAATTCGGAACTCATTCTCTCTTTGGTTGTCGGCCGAAACTGAGTTGACATAGTTCCGTATATTCCAAAGTTCCCAACTATGATCAGATGGTTAAGAATTATTTTAATTAGGTTTCTTTCCTGGAGTTGTATAATGAGGAAATTTTTGATCTTCTCTCTCCTACTGATGATACTTCTAAACTAAGGTAGAGAACCTTTCAACAAGGGAGGTGGTCAGGCGGCCATGAGCCACAACTCATTCCCATCCATGCCACATATTAGCTTTTTTGTCTTCCAGCAGACATGAGCCACATTAGACATGGAAGACTGAAGAGTTTTGATTCATTAAAGCTAACATGTGGCATGGAAGAACATAGTTGTGGCTCATGGTCGCCTGTTTTCCCTGCTTCAATAAAATGTATGTAGAATTTAATTTGACCTGGGTCAAGACTTAGTAAAAAGCAAGACATGGTTAAACCGCATAGACGTGGTTCAACCAATTATATTGTGCGCCGGGTCAAGCTGAGGAGAAATGGTTCAACTTAGTCAACGCGGTACAACTATGTCTTGTCTATTCAATTAAATCTTATCCCTGAAGTAACCCAGTCTCGTGTAACGTTTGGAACAGGATGTTTGTTTAAGCATAAAAACAATTTTTTAAATATGATGTCATTTTTTCAAACTATTAAACTACACGCAATGTATTATAACCTGTAGGTTATGTTACTTTGAGCTCTAGGGTCGAAATCAAGACGCTTACCTTTATCTATTCGGGGTTAGTGGATATCACGTAACAGCATGCGATTATAAAGTTATAAACCGGGACTTAATATTTGGCATCACTGAAATCAGAATTAATTTAAGAATATAAATTGTCAAGATTGTACGAGGATGCTACGAAGAAGGGATCCGTAATTATTCAAGGACTAGAAGAAGTTCAGGTACATAAATTGAAATATTTTTTAACGATTTAAATATTGTCGTTCGTCAAATAATTTCTTAATTACTTTCTAGGTACGAGCAAAGAAAGAAGTTTACGGACTAATGGATAAAGGAGCACTAAAGAGAAAAACTGCGGAAACATTAATGAATGGTAAAAAGGAATTTATTGGATTAAAGGGACTTACCGTAATTTCAAGTGACCCACCTTTAAAAAAAGAGGAATGCTAGATTCACAACGGTACCCTCTAAATTTGTGTCTGATCAAGAATGAATGAGATATGCTTTCCAAACTGAAAATTATTTTTAAAAGTTGTTTTTATTTAAGCGACTTAGCTACAGAAACACTGAAGGAAATTGCAGGAATTTAATAACGTGTTAACGACAATATTTTTCTTATTGTTACTGTGATATAGGTTTAAGAGGACCATTGTGAATCGAAGGTAACGCTTTTTAAATGGAGGGTCAATTAATTTTACTTGTTATGAATGTAAGAAAACCTTTTTTTCAGCGAACTCGAGCAGATCCCACACAATATTCACCGTAACCGTACACATGAAGGAAGCCAGTGTCGAGGGCGAGGAGGTGATTAGGGTTGGTAAGCTTAACCTCGTCGATCTGGCCGGCAGCGAGAACGTTGCTCGAAGTGGAGCCTCTGGAGGTCGAGCTCGCGAGGCTGGTAGTATCAACACCTCCCTGCTCACGTTAGGGAGAGTTATCACCTGCTTGGTGGAGAGGACTCCGCATATTCCGTACAGGGAGTCTAAACTCACCAGACTTCTTCAGGTTTCTGTTCTAGTTATCTTCTTAGTTATTGTATTCCGTCTAATCTCACTATAGACTTCTTCAGGTCCTAATTATTTTTTAAGTTTATTTAATTTTAAAATGTTTTGTCGGATTTTTCTAACTGTTAAAACCTCAAGACCCCCCCCCCCCCACCCCCCAATTCAGTTTAATTCAAAAGTATTGCATTGACGACCATATTGAGGTGTTTCGGACTTGAAAATGTGGCTTGGCTCGGAGTAACGTGCCGGTCACCCCAATTTTTTTGGAAATGCCAGCGCGTTGGGTAGGGGGCTGGTAGTTTTTTGAAGCTAACAGCTGCCTCATAATAGATAGATAGATAGGATTAACAAATTTAGCCTTTCTCTCACCCATTCTTGCTTCTATATTGGTAGTTATAATTAACGTCATATTACGACTAATACATTATTTGCATTAATTTCCTTGACCACTTTCTTTAAATTTTTCCCTTTTTCTTAATTTTTTAAGATTTTCACCTTTTTATTTTCTTGTATTCTGATTTAATAATAAAAATGATATTCAGGATTCCCTGGGAGGAAAGACTAAGACCTCAATAATTGCAACAATATCCCCCGCTCATACAAACATTGAGGAGACCTTGTCAACCCTAGATTATGCCCAGAGGTAGGAAAATCTTTATATCACTTGAAAGACTGTTTACATTAAATAATGGAAAAAAAGCCCTAGATTATATTTTATTTGTTTGACTGTATAGTGGATGTTGCTCAGAGCAAAGAATATCACTGTACATTGTTTAGAGCAAAGAATATAACTGTATATTTATATTGTTCAGAGCAAAGAATATCACTGTATATTTTTAAGAGCAAAGAATATCACTGTATATTGTTTAGAGCAAATAATATCACTACATATTGTTTAGAGCCAAGAATATCACTGTTAGAGCCAAGAATATCACTGTATATTGTTTAGAGCCAAGAATATCACTGTATATTGTTTAGAGCCAAGAATATCACTAACCGACCTGAGGTGAATCAGAAGCTGAGCAAGAAAGCTGTATTGAAAGAATACACGGATGAGATTGATAGATTAAGAAACAATCTCTTCAGAGCAAGGTAAAAATAGCTAAGTTCCTTGGAACTTATTTAAACTAAAATGTATGTTAAATGACAAACATTATATAAATATTGAATATATAAAAATTAAATATAGATAAACTCATTGGATTATTATAGACGAAGATTTAAAGAACCCCCTTCATTTTTCACGAACACTCCTTTTAATTTTAATGAGAGAAATATATTGCAGTGCCAAGAGTGTTTTAACAATTCAGGGAAGGGTCTTTTAAATAAGATAAAAGAATTAACTAGTAGGATATATAGCAATGATAATTCATAATTGCAGCTAGACATTTTTCTTAAACCTTGAAGTTCTGTTCAAACTATCCTTTGGCTGAAAATAGGCAATATAGCTAAATATCAAACTTCAAACTTTCAGAACTTTCTTAATTTTTTATTTTGTGTTACATACATATTTTGTGTTACTGGTGTAAACTGTGTAGATTTTGAAAAAAATTTAAGATTTTTAAACACTCGGTATATTTTAGGGAAGGAGAAGGAGTTTATCTAGCCCAGGAGAACTATCAGGAGATGATGAACCAAATTCAGGTATAAATACTAAATTCAAGGTATGGCGGTCTGAGCTCTCCAAAATGGGATGGTTTTCAGATCCTTATCTTATCTTATCTTATCTTATCTTATCTTATCTTAAAAATTAGAATTAGGGATTAGAATAAAATGTCTACTGCTAATGAAATCAAAGATACTATTATTAGGCCCAGCAGGTTGAAATCAAGGATACTATTATTAGGCCCAGCAGGTTGAAATCATGGATACTATTATTAGGCCCAGCAGGTTGAAATCAAGGATACTATTATTAGGCCCAGCAGGTTGAAATCAAGTATACTATTATTAGGCCCAGCAGGTTGAAATCAAGGATACTATTGGTAAGATGAGAGCTCTCAAGCAGGAGATGGATAACAAGGTTCAACTCTTCGTGGAGTACGAACAGAAACTTAAGGTAAAGGGATTGCAGACGTTATTTCCAGTAATTCTCCATTAAGAAATTGGCATTTTCGATTCCCATCGGTTCCCTTTAAACCTCTAACTGAGAAATAATGAGAAAGTTATCGTTCTATCCTGGAAAAAAAGCGTTTAATTCTCAAAATGTATTTCACTTTATCGACATCAAATACCCACAAGTTACTTTTAGAAAAGCATTGTTAATCAATTATTTCTTTGATCAGACGAAGGTTTAAAGGGTACTGTTGTGAATCGGACATGCCACATTAATAGCATGGTGTTGCAACTTTCAATCTTCTTTCATCTAGTGATATGTGATGAATTAATCTTTTAATGCAATGCAGATCTATAGTATAATATACAGGCCATGGTAGTTGGGGCTTCACGCCTTCGGCTACTGCCACTCGGGCAAACAGTATCATTGCACATGTCATGCTAATTCTGTGATCCATGCACCCCGGAAGGGGGCACTGGGTTGCCGAGAGGGGTGGTTACCTGGTAACACTGTGTTATTGGGGAGTCATATTAGATAGATAGAAACCAATTTTAACATTTACAGTCAAATAATTTTTCCATTTGCATTCCAGCAAATATATCATTTGTGGTGATTGATTTGTGACTTTTTTAGAAATCAGCTAACCGCCCACCATAGGTTGCTGCGTGTTCACTTAATAAAAATATTGCAAAAAAATCAATATCGTCCATATGGTTGCGAATTGACGATTTAATATCGGAGAAATCACCGTATAGCCCCCCCATAAAAATTTGAAAAATATCATGTTTCTCAAAATTTTCTAGGGAAATTTTATGCTTGATTGTAATAACCCCGATGGGCGGTTGGCTTAATTCCAAAATTGATCACCATTAATTTGTATTTCACAATTTACTTTTACGAATTAGTGTGCACAATAATACAATTACTAATTATTTCGTAATTTTGTCAAAATGCTTAGTTACCAATCTTTCATCAAGCTTAAAAATATAAAGATTTTAGAAACTTTATTTCTATCCTAGGATCGGCAAGCCGAGCTGGAGAAGGAAAAGACAACCCTGCAGAGTTTAGAGGAGGCACTGGAGAGTGCCAAAAATGATCTCCGGGAGACTGCTCGAGAACGTGATCTACATTCTCATCTTGTGCACAAACACGTAGAGACGGAAACTAAACTTGGACAAGAGGCGCGCAAACTTTTGGTTTTCGCTCACGATACTTCAAGGTTGGCGGAGCAGTTGAATTTTAATATGGCTGTAAATCCCGGGATTAAGCAACTGTCCGCATCTTTTGCATTTCTAGGGATTAAAATAATTTCTTTTTGTCTCCGTGCCCTGAAGGTATACCAAAAATTGAGGTATCAAGCACTCATCCTACAGTTTTAAGTCGAGACAAGTGTTGTAGATTAGCGCTATTCCAAATAAAAGTTTAGAGCTCTGATTCTTTACTCAACAGAGTTTCAAATAAATTCTTAGATTTTTTAATATTTTGACTTTATTTAGCGAGGTGTCAGCACTCCATGATAAGCTGGATCGGGGAAGGAAGGTTGAGAATGAGAATGAAAATCTCTACGAGGATTTTCTTTCAAGGTTCAAGACTAAAATTGATCTCCTGTCTACAATCATGCAAACATACCAGGTATAAAAATAGTTTCATTACAATTTTTTTGCTGGAATTCTTTTAAGAATAAAATTAATTTTCTGTATTTAGGATGATCATAATTCTCAGAGGAAACAAATTGACGAGGGAATTTTACAAGCATCAGAACACAACAATAAAATCATGGTTGAGATCACTCAAATGATCTCTCAGTTAAATCAGGAACGGAATATTTCCAGCTCCAGGATTACAGAAGAGCTGGAGAAAGAGATTGGTGAGAATAATCATACCTTGAACCAGCATCACAAAGTTCTAAACTCAAGGATTAGTGAACTTCAAGCGATATCCCATGAGTTTAAGGACGTATCTGTTGAGACCTTTCTCCGGGAGATCTTGGTTCAGCTGGAGCGTGAACAAAAATCTTATCATAGCATGTCGGAGCTAGTTTCTTCATCCTCACAGGAGTTATTAGACACATTCTCCAGGACCGGAGAAACACTCATGTCCCACATGTTAGAACTCTGGAAGGAAGTTGAGAGTCAGGTTGTTCAGAACTCTGGAGAGTTAGAGAAAACCATAGAGATAAACTCCAGGACCACTAAATCATTGGACGTGATGAAGACTGCGCTTGAAACCTTGATGAGCGAGTACAAGACACATGCCGACATTGTCCAGCAAAACATGAAAGAGAACGACGATATTTGTAAGAAGATATCCCAGAGTAGTTCCAAGATGTTCAGCTCAGTATCTGGGAAGGATAAGGTGCACACGGAGATGAGGGTTAAAGTGCTGAAGGAGATCAAGGTTGAATCTGATGAAAAACTGAAGAATATCCATGGTTCAGTGTCCGACTGTGTACAACTGAACAACGAGGAATCCAAGATTCAAGAAAACTTCCTTGAAGTGAAGAACAAGTATATTCTAGGAACCTCGAACATTCTAGAGAAAACTATGAATGCGTCCGAAGGATCGCTGATGGAGATTAAACAACAAAACACGCGAACAGCGGAGAGTTTAAAAAATAAAAAATCCGTGTCCGCGGAGCAACTTAAATCCAACAAGGAGAATTTGGAGAAGTATATCGAAACCAGCGAGAAGATCAGGGAGAAGATGCACAAGGAGAAGCTGACACGGGTCAAGGAACTGGGCGGAGCAGTTGAAGGGTTCAGAGAGAAGATAAACTCCGAGCTGAAGGGAGTAGAGGAGGAGACTATTGGGTTTGTAAATACTGAAATCAAGCAGAATACTCCAACAGGAAGCACTCCAGTACCTAAAGAGAGAACCTACCCTAGAACTCTGACTGCTACTTCACCCCACGAGAAAATTATAGAAAGGTATTCAGTTATTTTTTTGTTTGAATTGAAAAGTCTTTGCCACAAACTCTGATTTTCTAATCCCTATATCTTTGCAACCCGATGTAGTAGACCTTAGTTATTTCAAAATATGAATTCTGTAATATCAAATAATCTAGGTTTGAAATATCAAAGGTTTAAACCTTCAGGTTTGAACTATATAGAGATTAGAAAATTTGATGTTGTGGCTAAAGACTCAATTCCTTTGCTTTAAAAACATGTGCTCCTAACGACCATTGCCTGTGTTGCTAAATCTTTCTTCAAATAATTTTTGCTTTTATTTTGTAAGGGGACAGGGTTATTCTATAGTTCTTTGATAGTTTCACCTATATTACAAGAAGTTATGGTTAAAAACATATCGAAAATTTGATTTGTAGGTTTCGGAGAAATGAAACCCTGAACACCGCTGCAAATTTACCATTGGATGAGATGGATTCTGACTCCGTGATATCCTGCAGTACTAGAGGTCGGAGCACCAGCCAAGCATCTGAATACCGACCTTTTAGGTAGCCGACGTTGTATTAGAAATTTTCTTTAAAAAAATATATTTTATAAGATGAGTGGTATGGGGTTATGTGTAGTATTTGTTGTTTCCATCATTACTATTACGATGTAAATCTGATTTTCTTTAATTGATTTCATTAATCGAAACCATTCCTGTTATATTCATTATTGAAGGGATCAAATAAAAAAAAGGAGTTATTGATGTCAAAATAAACTGAAATCTATTCTCGATTTTGATTTTGATTTTGATTTTGATTTTGATTTTGATTTTTATTTTGATTTTTATTTTGATTTTGATTTTGATTTTGATTTTGATTTTGATTTTGATTTTGATTTTGATTTTGATTTTGATTTTGATTTTGATTTTGATTTTGATTTTGTTGATTTTGTTTATGGTTCTTGTTTGGTTTGATTTGAGATATTATCTTAATCTTGTTTTGTTTAGTTCTCTGAGCGGATCTTTAACAGATCTAGCCTCGGTTTCTGATACAGAGGAAGTGGAGAGAACCACCGGCCTCAAGAAACCTCAGATATTTTTCTCTCAGAAGAATTAGGACGGAATTATGTTTTTGGATCCTTGATTGATTAACGGTTCTGGATTCTTGAGTTAGGGTCCTAGATCCTTGACTTTAGGTCCTGGATCCTTATTCAAGGACCTGAATCATTTATTTGAACGGTTCTGGATTCTTGATTCACGGCCCTGGATACTTGACTTACGGTCCTGGATCATAGACTTGCGGTCCTGGACAATTGATTTACGTTCCTTGATCATTGACTTACGGTTCTGGATCAAATCAAATCAAATCAAATCTTTTATTAGGCCACAAATTATACAATGTACATACATATAAATGCTAATTGAAAATAACAGACAATTAAGAGTATATTGAATAACGGTTTTTGATCACTGAGTTACAGCCCTGGATCCTTGGTTACGGTCCTGGATCCTTAACTTACTGTCCTGGATCTTTTTGATTTTTATTGATTTGACGCAGTTCTAAATTTTGTTGTAACTAACCCATCAAGGGAATATTAATAAAGAACTATTTTTCATTTTGCGTTGAAATGTTAATAATTTATTAAATTATCAGACAAAAATGGAATAATGGTTGAATTTGGTGGTATCCCTGTATCCAGGAGGAGGGGTAGAGAGATTACAACCCTGCCAGGATGGTTTATTAACTCTAGAGTTAGACCTGGGCTTAAAATACCCTCCCAGGTCAGAATTAAAAAAAATAAACACATTGAAAAACTGAAAGTTTAAAGACACATAATATTCAGATTTTTTGTATATTTTAACCCTTCATATAATTTTAAGTCTTCACTTTTTTTGTTCCGGACAAAAACTGCTTGAAATTGAAGGATTTTTGCATAAATATTTAAAGATATAAATTTCTCAAAAAGGCATGGATGTACTTCTTATTTTTTATTTTAATATTTTGTTTCAGGTTGAAGACCTACTTCATATCGAACCCTTACTCTGCCTAGAAGAAGATGATATGCTAGGTCTAGTTCCGAACCTAGATCTTCAAAACTTTAATCCTGAACCTCCCATTTACGCTCTCAGGTTCTGCCCTGTTCCCGGGTTTGAATCTATTCTTGGTCTAGTAAATGAGGATGGAAATATTGCATTCCAGGATATCAATCAAGTGAGAAAATTTTTAAATATCGCCAAAACATCAAAAACTACATTTAAAGTATATTTTTTGTTTATGATTCGTTCTTTTGAGAAATTTATCTAAATTATTTCTTTAACTTTCGTTAAACATATGAACATTTTTTGTAAGAAATCCTTGTAATTATTATATGAAAACCTCAAACCTATTGGATTTATAATATTATTTGCTTTTTTCTAGTCTACTCCACGTATGCCTCTGCTTGGTGAATCTGCGCACAAAAATGCAATTTTTGATTTTGCCTGGTCTCCTGTAGACGCTAAACTAATGGTCACAGTGTCAGGGGATCAGAAGGCCCGACTCTGGGATCTAGGAGACGGTTCTCTGAACAGGTAGATAACTAGACTGGACAAGACTTGAGACAAGAACAAAATGTACGGTAGAGACGAGGGGTGATGTCTTGACGGAGCGTACATGATGAACGGCCAGTACTAATTTTTCCAAGAAGTTAACTGATGGTACAGGACAGGATTAGGCATGTGTTAACGTGCGTGTGGGGGAGGGGTGTTATAATAGACAATACATGATGTACGACAGCGACCAGGACGGACCGGTACGGTATTAATTGTTCCAAGAAGTTACGTGATTAGACAGAACAGGGATAGGTATGAGTTCACGGGGCGTACATGATGTGTGATACAGAACAGGACTGACCGGTACGGTACTATACCTGTCAAGACGTCACGTGATGTGGCAGGGAACACATTAACAGGTCTTAACGGTACGCACATGTACACTGGTATAGCACAGGACAGAACATTTTGGGACGGTCCATAATGTACAGTACAGAACATGACTGACCGGTACGATACGAAACATGACAAGAAGTCACGTGATGTGACAGAAAGGATTATGTATGTCTTAAAAGGGCGTACAATGTACATGATGAACGATACAGACCAGAGCTTACCAGTGCGGTACTAAACATGACAAGAAGTCACATGATGTGACAGGAAGGGATTGGTATTTATTACAGTGTTTATATTAATAATTAGACATTTTTCACTGATAACTGGCAGAATTTAATTTGAAATGTACAGATTTTACAACTATCTGGAATTGCCAGGTTAGTAAGTTCAGTAAACCCGGTCCAAATTTGATCTGGGAGAAATCCTGTAGAAGGAACCTCTTGTAAATAAAAACTTTGTCTAAGGTTGCGTGAATACCGAGGTTACACTAGAAGCTTGAAATGTGTTGAATGGAAACCAATGTCTCGGCATGAATTTGCTACTGGAGCCAGGAATAATATTGAACCCAAGCGGATCTTGAAGTTTAATTTTTTAATGGGACTGTAGAGTGTAGAGTGTACTGTCAAGTGACCCTATCAGTGGCATGTGAGATATAGAGCGGCACCATTAAATGCTTTTTTTATTAATAATGAATGAGATATCTAGTAAGTTCTATTTGAAAAATTGATCATTTCCTATTGTGATTTCTTAACTGACGTGTGGATTTATGCTGCTAAAGCAATGGATGAAAATGTGAGAAATAAAATCTTGACGATATTTTTTAACATTTGCAGTCCCTTTAAAGAGGTTGATTCATTTTCAAATCATAGTATTGTTACAATATTATTATTATTAGAGATAATAACATATTTCTATGGGATACTCGCAGTCCTAGTGATACAAATCCAGAAAATATAATTAGGTAACAGCCAACCTTATTCACCTTACTTATATGTAAAGCTTTAATTATATGTTTGAACACCATACTCGGATCTTACTACAACTTTATCTTATTTATATATCTCTTCTTATCCTTTTCCAGTCATTCAATACTCTTCAATAGAGTAAGGACGAACTCCTGATGATGCCAAAGTTTTTGGCGAAATATATTGAGAAGAAAATGATATAATTCTAGTGCTAGAGAGTAGGGTTGGGATTTCTTTAAAAACGATCTAAAGTCTTCTTATCATTTACCTTCAAATTCCCTTCAATTTTGTTAAGGAGCCTGTATCTGTCCTGTAAAAAAAAATTATATTGGACATTCGGATTTGAAACCGGTTGCGGATCTAACGGATCCGGATCCTGACGATATTGTAACACTCTACTTTTGATCTTCGTGTAGTTCTCACATTAATCAATTTAAAATATTATTTTATATATTCTAACAGCAAAGTGTACATTTTATAACTCGTTTTTTGTTCCTTTAACGCTTTTTTTTACCCTCTTCTAATGATTGTTTAATTTCTGCATGTTTGTTGGTCTAATTTACAAATAAGATTTTTATTTAACATTTGAAGGTGCGCGCACGCGCATTCTACACGTCGAGGAGCAGCTAGCGCGTCTGTGACTGGTTTAGTTTGGTTGGATGAATACAGTCTTGTTTCTGTGGGTGGCAATGATGGTGTTATTAAGGTAAATAGTTAATTTTTTGTTCATGGTGTGTTTTCGGAGTTGTTTAAAAATTATACAGTATCTCGTTGACAAAATTTGTTGTTGGTAAAATTAAGGGGTTGTAGACTTAATTCCTAACAACCCCTTAAAAAAAGGGCTTGTCCTATTTACAATGGTACCCTTTGGTATCTTCAAGCAAAAGCAACAAAAAGGAAGATATCGTTGTTCTCGTTGCTTCTGTCGATTACACATACAGAGAACCCTAAAAAGAAAGTTATCACTGCAGACAGTTAAACAACTAACAAGAATACCTTTGTTAATCTGACATGTAACTCATGTGGACGCACTAGCGTTAAAATAGTGATTAGAATGCGCCAATAACGAGCAAGGCCATTAAAGCACATTGAGGAAGGAAGAAAAGTATGACGCACATATGTACAATGCACATACTTACAAGTAAAGTAAAGTAAAAGTAAAAAAATATTTATTTATGAAATATAACAAAAACAAACAAAATAAAGTGTTTCATACTTACATACTTAATACTTTTACATATATACATTACAGCTAATGGGATATTGTGAAATATATGGGAATCAACGTATTAACCTTTATAATAAAGGTCGTCTCCTATATATACATTTGTTAGTTTTAGCTCGCACACCCCCACACCAAATTAACTTACATTTTTTTATATTCCACGGGCAATGCTAAAATCCTGATTTAATTCCAAGCGGATAAACTTTGAATGATAATATAAGCATGGGCAACGCCAGGTTCTCCAGTTAGTAAATGATAACAATATTAAAAAATAATGGAATCAATTGAGTTAAATTTTGTTAGGTTTGGGATATGAGGAAGAACTATTCTCTTTATAAGAATGATCCAATTCCTAGACAAGAAATACATCATCCAGGAACCTCAGGAAACCAGGTACAGTGAAACCCTTAATAACGAATACATCGAAAGAATTCATCAAATGTCGTATTCTTCACTTTCTGATAATGGAATGTTGCAGATATTTAGTTTTTTAATTAAATGATTATATGGAACTCTTTAAAACTGTTCCCGCATATTCATGGCTATTTATTTATTTTCGCAAATACTGAAATTTACGTAATAAAGTATAAAACTCATTGAAAAATTGCCAAGACGACATTTGATAAATTCTTCCGATGTATTCGTTATTAAGGGTTTCACTGTATAAAGTAACAAAACATTCCACAAGAAAATTAATATTCTTGTATTAAAGGGACTGTTAGTGTAATTAATATTCTTGTATTAAAGGGACTGTTAGTGTAATTAATATTCTTGTATTAAAGGGACTGTTAGTGTAATTTTAAGGGACCCTTCATTCAAAGATAAAAATTCCCGAATTAAAATGATATCCCTGAAATCTTGATCTGTTCAGTAATGTGGAAGATAACGTCGTTTTTCTGAACATAAAAATGTTGCTTAAAATTCAATATATTATTGGGTTGTGTTTAAGCATTCATATCATTGCATATGGCCACATTTCTTAACTTTATTAAAGCAATAAGTTTAAATGATCTTATTGATATATTTTCTAGGGATACACTAGTATTCTTCACACTCCACATTCCTGTTATATTTATGTTTCCTGTCTGGACAGCAAAATATATAAATATGATATTATCAATGCCCATCAAAGGTAAGAAAAACCAGTAGAAAATAAATAAAGCCTAATGTGACTAAAAACGGAATTTTCATTGATCTTCCATTACTAGAGTGGCATGACCGATTCACAACAATACCTTAATATGGAAAAAGATGAATGAGATATCCTCATATTTATGTCTAATATAAAAAATGGCGATATATTTCCCAATATTTCTCAGAAAAAGGTTTGAATGATTATGTTGTAAACCGGGCTTGCCACTTTGTAAGTGGAGTGTCAATTGTTGTTAGCAAATACGCACATTTAGTTGTCATTTTAATTTGACAGTCTCTCAAGCACTTCTTGCTTGTAAAAACTAAGGAATGGAAGGTATTGGACAAAGAAGTTATTGCTTATGAATCTAAATTTTAAATCTATATCTTTGCAACCGAACGAAGACCTTTGAAATAGCAACATGCAAAGAAATGGGAAGTAAAAAATTAGAGTATGATGAGGCGAGAAATAAGTTTCTTTCGCAAGCTTTCATTTTAAATCGCGAAAAAAGCCTTAGAAAATATCCACTAACAAATACTTGTTAAAAAATGTTAAATTCCAAACTATGATAAATTATTCAGCCCTGATTTAAATTCATTTTGGGATCGAGATCCCAGCGGCAAAATTTTAACCAAAGCCTAGAAAACTTTTTGCTCTCAAAACACACAACCTATGAGATTTAATTTATTACCTTCCTAATCAATTAATGAAAAATCAAGTCTATGCATAAAAGTTAACGAAGAAAAAAGCGTAAATGTTATAAAAAAAAAGCAAAAACTAAAAATATGATCATGTGCCGGATCCGGATCCATTTTTTACAACACCCTACCAGAATCCGGATCCACATTAAAGTTAAATGGATCCTAAGCACTCCCTAAAAGTCTAATTTAATTTGATTTGACTTTTGGTCAAAAAATTTAATTTTTAATGACGATTTTTTAGACCTGTGAATACCTACACTGGAGCAGATATAGGAAACTTCTTCATTAAATCTAGTTTATCCACCTGTGGAACCTACCTAGCAAGTGGGAGCTGTAATAATAGTGTTTATATCTGGAATACAAACAGTCCAGGGGGTGCCGTAGCATTACTTGGTCCTCAGGTAGGGATATTCATCATATATCAAAAATCAAATATTGAGATTAAAAAGACGACCCAAAATTGTTAAGTATGACTATCTAAATGTTTAAGTGTAATTTCTGATTTAAATATAGTCTTTTAATGGATTAGTTATAAAGAAAAAAGTTTGTTTTCAAATGCAGAAAAGCATGGATCTGTTAGAAAAAGATCTCAATAAATTCCGCACTGTCTTCTCAGAAATCTCATCCTTTTTAGGTAACCCTGTACTTGGAGATCTAGTTTTTCTTAAAGGGACTATATCCGTAATTTCAAGTTACACGTCATTTGTAGAGCAACAGATTAATTGTTTTTATTGATTCCAGCTAAAACGTTAATTGTAGATCTATGCGGCATAGACAATGGAGGAAATTTACATAATGTAAACATGGCGTTATCTTTCTGTTATTAAGGTTTTAAGAGTTCCTTTGTGAATCGGACATGCCACTCCGTTTTTTTTCAAATTACGTCAACATTTGCTTTGCTGTTGTTCCTGGATCCGTCCGGAAATCCAGATCCAGAAAATTACCTTTTAAAGTTTTCAATGGATTCTCGACCTAACAAAATTTTAAGGTTCACTGTTGATTTTGACAGATTTTTCGATCTTTTATTACCCTTAGTATAAAGCAATTATCTTTTGATTTAGATACAACACGAGGCAAAGTAAATAAATGAAATCAATACAGATGTAAAATCAAGTGAGATAAATTTGTCAACCCCCTCCTGTATGTGTCCGTAGGACTTGGTTTATTCATTAGTAGATCTGAGTCTAATCAATTGTTTTGTTATTTTATCTGTTTTCCAATTTATTTGTGAAGTCTCATTTTTCCGGGGAAAATGTCTGTATCTTTTTGATAAAGACAATTATAAATCTCATTTGTATATCAAGAAAAAAACCTCTATCTGACATGGCAGTCTTAGTTTCTGGACTAAATATAGTTATAATTGATCTCGTTTTTATAAAGCCTCAGATTGTTACATATGTTTCTTGTTACAGTTATAATTAATCATATTGTTATAAAGGAGGAGGCGGCTACATGTGTTTCCTGTTACAGTTATAATGGATCACGTTGTTATAAAGGAGGAGGCTGTTTCATGTGTCCTGTTACATTTATAATTGATCATGTTTTTATAAAGGAGGAGGCGGTTACATGTATTTCCTGTTACGTTTATAATTGATCACGTTGCTACAAAGGAGGAGGCGGTAACACTTGTTTCCTGTTAAATAGTAATAATTGATCATGTTGTTGTAAAGGAGGAGACTGTTACATGTATTTCCTGTTACATTTATATTTGATCATGTTGTTATAAAGGAGGAGGCGGTTACACGTGTTTCCTGTTGAACAGTAATAATTGATCATGTTGTTATAAAGGAGAAGGTTGTTATATGTGTTTCCTGTTACAGCTATAATTGATCAAGTTATAAAGGAGGAGGCGGTTACATGTTTTTACTGTTACATTTATAATTGATCACGTTGTTACAAAGGAGGAGGCGGTTACACTTGTTTCCTGTTAAACAGTAATAATTGATCATGTTGTTATAAATGAGGAGGCTGTTTCATGTGTCCTGTTACATTTATAATTGATCATGTTTTTATAAAGGAGGAGGCGGTTACATGTATTTCCTGTTACGTTTATAATTGATCACGTTGCTACAAAGGAGGAGTCGGTTACACTTGTTTCCTGTTAAATAGTAATAATTGATCATGTTGTTGTAAAGGAGGAGGCTATTTCATGTGTTTCCTGTTACAGTTTCAATTGATCATGTTGTTATTATGGAGGAGGTTGTTACATGTGTTCCTGTTACAGATATAATTGATTATGTTGTTATACAGGAGGAGACTGTTACATTTATAATTGATCATGTTGTTATAAAGGAGGAGGCTGTTTCATGTGTTTCCTGTTACAGTTTCAATTGATCATGTTGTTATTATGGAGGAGGTTGTTACATGTGTTCCTGTTCAGATATAATTGATTATGTTGTTATAAAGGAGGAGACTGTTACATTTATAATTGATCATGTTGTTATAAAGGAGGAGGCTGTAGCATGGGTTTCCTGTTACAGTTATAATTGATCACGTTGTTATTAGGGAGGAGATGGTTACATGTGTTTCCTGTTACATTTATAATTGATCACGTTGTTATAAAGGATGAGACTGTAAGAGTTCTAATTGATCACGTTGTTATAAAGGAGGAGGCTTAAGAGTAATAATTGATCACGTTGTTATAAAGAAGAAGGCTCTAAGAGAAATAATTGATCACTGTTATAAAGAAGGAGGCTGTAAGAGTTATATTTGATCACGTTGTTATAAAGGAGGAGGCTGTTACATGTGTTTCCTGGAATTTCAAAGAGAATATACTCGCTGCCTGTACAGATGATACTAGACACAGGTCAGTTAGTTCAATTTTATAAATCAGCCTTTATAAACTTTATAAATTTATTGTTTTATATCCAACATATTTTAATCTACCTTCTCCCAATAAAGCAAAACTCAAACCCGGCTGGGGTGTATAAAGAAATTTATTAGGGGGGAGGAGGGGGACATTAATATGTAGGCAAAATTATTTTCTTTTTTCCACCTTAATACTTCCCCCTAAAGGGAAACAATAGGAAGTAAATAAACATTGGTTTAATGTGCGAATTGTGCAAGTTCAAAGGAGTATTTTTATTATGTTCACCAATTAAAGAGAGTTTCTGGCTAGTTGACCTGAGAGTGCAGTATTATAGAAAAAATTGTGATTCATTTGAATTTCTATAAAACCGTTTTTAAGGTGTATACGTGCTGAGTAAGAGCACACACTCTTTAAAAATCACAAGGATGGTTAATTCTGGAAGCTTGATCTTAAGAATCAATCTTTTTTAATCAATAACCCGGATGAAAAACGTGCCAAAAACTGTTCTATAAATACTAATACTGCACTCTCAGTTCAATTACCATACCTAGCCATAGCCAGTCACTCTCTTTAAGTTTAACAGTTATCTGTTTAATCTAATTCTAATTATTTTATCCTGATGAATTAATAACGTCGTTAGAAGTAGATGAATTAAATTTCTTAGTGCGACGGAGAGTGTAAGCGCATCTAGGCCACACCGAGTTGAACTACTTCGCCCTTTACATAAATCCTGCCTCTGGATTAATATTTTATTTTTAGAATTTGGAGACCCCAACGGTGCACAGATACTCTCCGTATCCGGGGACGGGCTAAAATGACCGGAGTGAAACCAACTCTAGAGTACCCAAGTCCGGTCAATCCAATACCTGTCACCCCTTCAACCGGGAGAATACAACGTTTACCAAAGACTCCCACCAGTCAAAAGTCCCGATTGAAAGTACAAACCCCGTCCATTAAATCTTTTCTGACTCCTAAAAATTCCGGTTCTCCGTTCTCTAACGCATCTTCAAAAAGCGTGATGGCCGGAAGTTCGACCGGTTCAAAAATTTTAGAATTTTCCTCTCCTGTCAACTCCGGGAAGCGCGGTAAGAAAAGGCGGTTAATGGAAGAAACTGAGGAAGAGAAATATAATTCCACTCAATCGGATTCTATCAAGAAAAGTATTAATGATCTCCTACTAAACCCAAGTTCTCCGGTAAAATGTCAGTTTTCTCCGAATACATATAGATCTCCGTCTAAAAACTTTAACTCCGTCTTTGGTTGTCTGGAACCTAGATCTCCCAGACTCATTCAATCTCCCCTGAAGCGCACCTTGTTAGAATCTCCACTCAGATTAGCAGTAAGACGACCTCTAGAAAACCTCCAATCTCCGACTGCTAATCTACCAAACTATATCAAGGACGGAACGTCTCCGTTATGTGTGTCCCATGAGAAGCCGGCACGGAAGGCTGACTGGTTGACCCAGCTATCTATTGAGAAACAGAAGAGCATGCCAGCCAAACCTGAGAGAACAAAAACTCCCAAATCTCGCAAAAAGATTGGATACAAAAGCTGAGAAAAGCTCAAATTCCATGATCTAATTAAAATAGAAATATTTAAAATTTGGTCGATCTGTTTTACTTTTTTCTCAAATATTATTTTGTCTATTTTATGTTTATAAATCATCAATCTTCCGTCCAAAGCACAAAATTCTTCAAAAAGAAAGTTTTATATGCCTTAAAAACGTACAGGTATGTAAATTTAACAGGAATCACTATTCGTTATTAACGAAATGTAGGCTTTCAGCTGACTGACGAAATATTATTAAGTTTCGAGAATAACATTCTTTCTTAAAAACAAGATCCGTTGAATTTTAAAGATTTTTTATTTTATTTAAATATTTTATAACAATGCTATATCTAAGCCTTAAAACTTAAACTTTGCTTATCTGCAAATAGCACAGGTTTTAAGGATTTTATGATAATTTTTATGATCTATACAAAAAAGCCACTTAACAACATTTAGAAACATCAGCTTTAAATCTAAAAAAAAATTATCTAAACTTTAAAATCTGGTGCAAATTGTATCTTGTTAATAAAAGCTGCCACAAAAAATATCCAATCTTTAAAACCTGCCACATAAAGTCGAAAATGAAGTCTTACTTTGTCAAAAAATATCTAGATGAACCCCCCCCCCCCCCGGGTTAGCTAGTTCCGTCTTGATTTTTTCTGTTATTCTGGCAAAAAAGTATTGTATCTGCAATATTTGTCAAATTCCTTTAGTTTGATAGGTAACAATTTGATATGTCTACATAAAAAATATCTCGCCTTGTTGTCAATTGTTTGATTTTTTTATTAAAAAAATTTGCTTTGTGAGATTTTATGGCTTAAAATAAAAATACTTCGAGTTGTTTTTGGTCTTTATAAATTGAACTTTAAAAGGAACTTTATATGTAAAAGTCATTTCCTCACAAAAAAAAACATAAACCCGCAAATCCGCGATTGATAATTAATATCCATTTATCGTGTAATATACTTGCCATAAGTAACATTTTCTATGAGTTACACACTTGCCATTATTTTATCCTTGCAATGTTAATTATAGCAGATATAACTTATCTAAAATAATGTTAAATGTAACTGATAATAATTTGTCCAATTTATCTGTTGCTAATATTACCATTTTGGAAAGCGTTACTAATGTGTAATAACATCTCATTATGTATTTTTGGCAAATGAAACTGAGTCTAAAAGTTAACCTAAACCTAAAAACTTTCCTTTTTGAATTATTTATTCTTTCTATTCAAAATAATTTTTAATAAATTCATACTCATTTATTTTTTAATCTATTAAAAAATTGGCATAGCAAATTAAATGGGACAACGTTGATTATCAAAATATTTTATCCCCCCCCCCACCGTAGTACCCCCCAGCACTGGTATTATAATGGAAAATTTTATCATTGTACCAAACATATTGGCGACATAATAATTATAATTCCGGGATTATTACTTTTTAAAAGAAGATTGTAAAGTTTTAGAGAAAAAGTTACAAAATATATTTTGTATTTTTTAATGCGCATTTTCTTATCAACTAATCATATACATATAGGTTGACCGCCGTAGGTATTCTCACCTAGTCTCAATATGTTTTGATAAGAGAGAGTTGAAATGTGATTAGAATTTAGAGTATTGGTTCTTCTGGTTTAATCAGCCAAGGTTTAGTTTCTCCGTATCCTGGTATTCACTGGTTCTAATGTTTGCTTTTCCAGAGAAGAGCGTAATAAGCTTGTCTCGAAGCAAAGTAAAGAAAATGGAATATATAGCTACGGAGTTTCCAGATGTTTGCCAATGGTTTGAAACTATTTCATCGGAGCAGACCTTGATGAGCAGATCCGTTTCCGGACCTAACTCTCCAACTGAGGAGGATATGCCTGAGATAGCACATGCTCCTACTCCGAACAACTCTCCTTCTAAACATGAAGAGGAGACTTCAATCCTTCAACCACACTTTGAAGTTGAAGAAGAATGGAACCAATCTTGGGTTGATGAAGATCTGAATGAGTACAAGGCTAGGGTTGGATGCTCTTGGATCGAATCAGAGCATACCTGCAACGCCGGAGAGAATTGCTTGTTCGTCAGGAACATACTTGGCCTGGATCAGATTCCTCATGCAATCGCCTTTACTCCGAAACCAAGGATTCAACGGGTGATGTTGGCTCGACCCACCGCTAATGGGTTGTTTCAAATCTCGGAGACTAGAGAACTCACGAAAGACCAAATACAGATGATCATGAAGATGCCACGACAAAACCAGATCAAGATTATTCAGGTTAGTTTTAAATAGACACGGATAGCGATAAGTAGTTGAATCATTTCTCTTCACTTGAACCGGTGCACAAGAGACGTGGTTCAACGACATTTACTCGGTTCAACTGTTTTTCTCTATTTTTGAAATCCAGTCCATGAGCTTGCAAATTTTGAATTGACTAAACTAATTTAACTGGTACATTCTCGTTGAGTTAATATGAATGATATGAGATTCTCATATTATTCATATTAACTCCTGTCTTATTCTTAGTGGTGGACTGTAATACAGTTTTTATTTTTTAAGATTCTTTTGAAATAATTATCTTCTTTGTCAGGCAAGAACGCAGGTTGAGGATAAGCTGGAAGAACCTATTTATTTATCAAACATGAACAACTACAGGGTTATCAAGGAACCATTGAAGGTACGTAATGAAATTTATTTAAGAAAACATGCACACGAACAAAAAAGTTCGAGGATTAAGTAATATTTTTCGCGCATTTTCAAAATTTTACCAAATTCAAAAACTTTGGACACAAATTTTTGTAAATTTGAGCATCCATAAACCTTCCCTGGGGTCATGTGCTTTCCCACACGAAATTTGGGCCCGATCTGGTCTGCCGTTTTGACGTTTATTGGATACAAACTGACATACAGACAAGCAAAGTCAATATATAAAGAGATAAAGATTCAACTTTCATAACACAAATCAGAAGTTTCTTTTAGTGGATCATAAATCAGGGTGAAATGAGATTTAAAATCAAAATTGTAAAGAAATCTAAATTTACTGACCTAGGCTTAGAGAGCGGTTCGCGCCCCCTTCTAGCACAATTTCAGTGTCTAAGTATTTTAAGTGAACTTTTTTTCGTAATTGTAAAACGTATGATGTGGCGGATTTTGAAAGATTTCTAGAATAAAATAAAGAAGATTTTTCCTAGGTTAAATTTTTACCTTTAAATTGTCATGTGATTAGCCACTAAAATGTGTGTCCGATCAGTTCAGCCGTTTTGACGTTTTTTGAATACAGATAGAAAGACAAACAAGCCAAATTTATTTATAGATATTGTTATATGTCAGGTTCAGCTTCAGAGTAGACAGAATATATCTTTGAAATCTCCACCTTCACAACCATTCATTTCATCAAAGTACATGAATCCTACACGGCAGTACGTAAACCCTCCAGTACAGTACAATGCAACCTCTCCTCCGTACCAGGCCCCCTCTCCTCCCTATCCCTCCTCAGTTCAGTACTCAGCTCATTCTCCGGTTCAGTTTCCGACTCCTTCTCCGAGTCCTCCCAGCTCCTCCACCTCTCCCGAGGGTCCAGAGAGTGCACCAATCAATCATATTTGTCCAGATTGCACTAGCGGGTATGTCTTTGAATTATTCAAGATATGTTCATACGTTGGCTTATAAATGCTTTGTTTATGGGAGGGTTTGACTGTCTGTTGACAAATCTAAGTAATAGATCCCTCCAAATACTTCAGTATTCCATTTTTTCTTAAAATTTTTAGCTGCTATTTTTTAAAGGCGACAAAATTAAAGGCGTTTACTTTTTCGTAAAATTTGTTACTAATTGGAACCCTTGAAAAAGTAAATATGTCAGTTCTGTAACTCGGCTTATTCAATAAAACAAACAAAATGCTTGGATTTGTAAATATTTTTCATTAATATTTTCTGCCAGGTTTCGGGATTCTAAACAGCTTCTGAAGCACAGGAGAAATCATCATCAGATTTACACATGTAAGGAGTGCGGGGAAAAGGTAAGAACTTTAAAAGGAATGTTCGCGGTTTTTAAGTAGATTATGTTATTCCGAAGAAAAGAAGATTTGGTGAACAGTGATACATGATTATTGTTTATGTTATGATTTTTCTCATGCAATACATAAAAGAAATTCTGATTATTGCCATACATGATATATATATATGTATATCACATCAATGTGCAGATACCATTATAGGCAATATTTACGAATATCTAGCACATGTAATATAAAAATGAGGGACTCTTCTTTCTTTTGACGGTTTAGTTTGTTAACAGAGTTTCAGAACAAGGAAAAGATTCACCATTCAGGGGGGTTGGTTTTCGTAGACTCCTAAATTCACGCTTTTTTAGATTCCTAGATTCACACTTTTTCAGATTATTGGATTAATTTTTTTAGATTTCTGGATTCACACTTTTTTAGATTTTTGATTTCAAACTTTTTTAGATTATTTTTCAGATTACACTTTTTTATTCCTGGATTTATGCTTGTTTTAGATTCCTGGATTCGCATTTATTTAAGTTCCTGGATTCACACTTTTTAAATCCCTGGATTCACACTTAGTTTCATAGATTCACACTTTTTTAGATTCCTGGATTCACACTTTTTTAGATTCCTGGATTTACACTTTTTTAGATTCATGGATTCACACTTTTGCTTATATATTTTACATTTTTTTTAAAATGTGCAAATGATATCCAAATTGTTAAGATCTGCTTAATTAAAGTATATTTTCAATTATGTAGAATTTTAGTTCATTTTTTTCCATAGGCAATTGGTTACTACAAGATGGCTTCCCACTCCAAGAAGGCGCACAGTAAGGAACCAATCTACTTTTGTGAATGTGGGAGGAATTTTGGAGAAAAGAAAGGGATGACCAAACATCAGAATACCTGCTCAGTTTTCGCTGCCAGAAAGGTAAAACCTTGAATTAATAATTTAGATATTTAAAAAATTTTAATTTATTTTTATATTTGTTTAACATAAAGCCTTATACCATTTCCATTCCCCAGTCTTATACCATTTTTATGTTATTTTTCATTTAAAACATTTGTTACCATCTGGTGAAATCAGAAAATTCTAAACTTCTAGGGCAGCGACCAATCTTTGATACGCAAAAAAAGATTTACTTACAGTACTTACAATAACTTAGTGCATGATTAGTGATCAGAAGCTTTAATTGGTTTTCTGGTATTCTGGATCCATTGTAATTCCAAAAATAGTGCTGAGCCTTAAAATGAACATTTATTTCGTAAAATTAAATCAAATATAAAGAAGGTTTCATCCGAACCACCATTTGATTGTTACGCATGCTGTTTTCGTTCTTGTTTTTGGAAATTCCCTCAAGGACCGGGGTGTGGGATTAAAGTCTCAGGAAGTCTAATTTGATAAGATATTAGTGACAGAATAAACAAATAATTATAATCTTTGATTGTGTTTAGGTTTCTTAGAGCTATGGTGATGAAATCAAGTTTAGAGTGATTACAAGATGCATTTAAACTTCTGTAACTACCTCTAATCATTTCATGTTTATTCCTTCACAATTCAACCGTTCACCTGTAAACATAAATGTTCAAAATTCTCTGTATTTTATCTTAATCTTATTCCAGAAATATAATGTAAATTCTTCTCCCCCTACTGCATGGTTTAAAAGATTTTGGGGCTTTGGAAAATAAGGAACGAAGTATTTGTTTTTGTTAAAAAAATCATCTGCAGTTCCTCCAATAGGAAACTTGTTTTTTTATATCCAGTCTTTTAAGATCAGCATGGGGGGGAAATAATTCAAGTGGGAAGTGAGGGACATTATATTTCGAAGAAAAATACATAACTTTGTTTCTAAAACAGACATAATTTAGTAGTCCATGAATGAAATCTAAACCGGAGGAGAATTACCAAAGTACATTCAAGTAACCTACATATAACCTACAAATCAATAAATTGTCGTGTTAAAACTGGAAAATACGTGTTTTTAAAAATATGCTGTAAATATTTGTATCCGTCATGAATTAATGTGCCAACCTAGTCTTTAGTCGACATAAAATAAAACAGTTGTAAGCAATTTCAAAAAAAAAACCAAGAATATTAAGTTTTTCAAAATAATTAAGATATTTTTTACGCATTCCCATCCTGCTGAGACAGCGCCGCGTAGTATTTCTAAACCCTGATTTTTACGCAGAAAGCTAAGTTAAATTTGTTAAAATTTCAATATTTTTATCCTCTGGAATTGCTTTTAACAGTTAACATGTGTATCGTGTAACCTCTAATATTCTCGTGCAACAATATATTTTAAAATAAAATTTCAGAAAATATTTTAATTATCACTATGGGGGATAGTGGTACAGGGTTCAGAGACAGATCTGACAGTAACAGCGCTAGCAGTCAGGTCAAGATAGGACCTTACATCCTGGGGGAAACATTGGGGATCGGAACCTTTGGCAAGGTTAAAATTGCGTTCCACCAGCAGACCGGGCACAAGGTCGCCATCAAGATACTCAACAGACAGAGGATCAAGAACCTTGACGTCGTGATGAAGATCAAAAGAGAGATTCAGAATCTGAAACTGTTCCGACATCCTCATATTATCAAACTGTATCAAGTTATTAGTACTCCGACAGATATATTCATGGTTATGGAGTATGTATCAGGTATTAGGCATCATCTATAGTGCTGATGGAATAAATAACTCTACCCCTCCCTCCCCCCTTCTAGAATTAATAGATTGGAAACCCAGCTTTGTCTATTTAACTAAAATTGATCTAAAAAAATTAACCTACTGAATAACTACTTCATGAGTTATGGTCGGTAATACAAACTTCTTTATTTATATGTTTTTATACAGCTGGAATAAATTAATTGATATTTTTCAGAGTTAATCTAATTCTTTAAGATTAGTTAATTTTGCCCTTTTATTAACAAAGACAGCAAGAACAATAAAGTACTACCCCTTTCTCTCTCTGTATTGATCTCAGAAATGAATTCCACGTAACAGCTGGCTACTAGCGCACCCGACAGAATGCTCCAATATTTAATTTGACATCGGAAATGAGTTTCTTGTGCCTAATTACCTGTAAATTGACATACACCTCGAAAAATATATAGTTAGATGACCCAAAACGTAATTGCTGGCTACTAGGGCGCCGATCAGAGTGCTTAAACTAAATTTTTTGACATAAGAAATGGAATACCCGTGCCTAATTACCTATTAATCGACATACGACATGTAAATTGTGTGGCAAAATGACCCATAATGTAACTAACATCCGGCACTAGCGCGCCGATCAGAACGCTCCAATGTCTATTTTGACCACAGAAATGAATTCTTCGTTCCAATTTACCTGCAGTTAGTTGTATTGCATGCTACTTTTGTTTTGAATAATGCCAAAATTGAAAAAGTTAAGAATTGCAAATATTTTCTAAAATGCGCGCGCGGGGAGATTTGAGGCTTTTATGCGCAAAACCGTTAAGGGATTACAAGTTTGAAAGCATCTTCAAGCAAATTCAAGTTCATTTCATGGTGTCAAGATTGCAAAAATGCGAAAAAGTAACATTTTACACCATAAAGCGCGCGCGCACTTTTGTTCGGATTTTTATAAAACTGAATTTTACAGTTACAATGCATAATTTTTAGTTTACATGCAAAAAAAATCAGTGTTCTACGACAATTCTAAGTTATGAATAAGCCCTATTTAAATTTTCCGAAAAGTAATACGTTTTGCGGCCCCCCCCCTCCCCTTCAAGCCACGGCTTAAATTCTTTAAATTCGGCCTCTGTTTCCTCTAATATGTTTTTTTCAGGTGGAGAATTATTTGACTATATTGTAAAGCACGGGAAACTGAAGGAAGACGACGCCAGGAGATTCTTCCAGCAGATTATTTCTGGAGTAGATTACTGTCATAGACATAATGTGGTTCATAGGTAGATTATACTAGTAGTAGATTGCTGTCATAGACTTAATGTGGTTCATAGGTAGATTATACCAGTAGTAGGTTACTGTCATAGACATAATTTGGTTCATAGGTATATTATACCAGTAGTAGATTACTGTAATAGACATAATGTGGTTCATAGGTAGATTATATCAGTAGTAGATTACTTCCACAGACATAATGTGGTTCATAGGTAGTTTATACTAGTAGTTGATTACTTCCATAGACATAATCTGGTTCATAGGTAGATTATACCAGTAGTAGATTACTTCCATAGACATAATGTGGTTCATAGGTAGATTATATCAGTAGTAGATTACTGTCATAGACATTATGTGGTTCATAGGTAGATTATATCAGTAGTATATTACTGTCATAGACATAATGTGGTTCATAGATAGATTATACCAGTAAAAGATTACTGTCATAGACATAATGTGGTTCATAGGTAGATTATATCAGTAGTAGATTACTTCCATAGACATAATGTGGTTCATAGATAGATTATACCAGTAGTAGATTACTGTCAAAGACATAATGTGGTTCAAAGGTAGATTATATCAGTAGTAGATTACCGTCATAGACATAATGTGGTTCATAGGTAGATTATGTCAGTAGTAGATTACGGTCATAGGCATAATGTGGTTCATAGGTAGATTATATCAGTAGTAGATTACTGTCATAGGCATAATGTGGTTCATAGGTAGATTATATCAGTAGTAGATTACCGTCATAGACATAATGTGGTTCATAGGTAGATTATACCAGAAATTGATAACTGTCATTGACATAATGTGGTTCATTGGTAGATTATACTTGTAGTAGATTACTGTCATAGACATAATGTGGTATTTAGATTATACCAGAAGTAGACTACTGTCATAGACATAATGTGGTTCATGGGTAGATTATACCAGTACAAGATTACTGTCATAGACATAATGTGGTTCATGGGTAGATTATATCAGTAGTAGATTACTGCCATGTGATTCAAACCTAAAAGAAACCATTTAGTCTATTCAAAATAAAATTTTAAGAAATTAAGGAATGAAAAATTGTGAAATTGATTTAGCCTTTAGATAATATAATATTGACAATCGATCTTTTTTATATATCATTAAACCACTTATTTTTATAATATTATAATTCAGTTAAATCGGTTTATGATTACAACCTGATGTTAAGGGATTTGAAACCTGAGAACCTATTGTTGGATCAGTCCATGAACGTAAAGATCGCTGACTTCGGCCTCTCCAACATGATGACAGACGGAGAGTTTCTAAAGACAAGCTGTGGATCTCCGAACTATGCTGCTCCTGAGGCAAGTCTTCAATCTTCATATATATTTAGCAAATTATGTCCTGCGGCCTGACCCTACCCTGAGGCTCACATCTCATTATCTAATTGGGGTGCTGATGGATCGGGTTACTCGTTTTTTCTAAGGTCACTTAAATGACAAATAAGTCCCTTCGTTATAAATAAATGTCCGGTTTAGAAATACCTTCGATGAATTCCGAAAGAAATTATGATTTTCGGAAAGTTTCAGCTTTCAGTTTAATTTTTTAAAGGGATCAATAGAATGGAGTATTGTATAAAGTATTAACTATGCGTTTAATTGTTTTATTTGTTGGTCGGAATACTGAATAATTTTTTGTGATTGATTGGTTGATTGATTAGGTGATCTCTGGTAAGCTGTATGCTGGTCCCGAGGTAGATATATGGTCCTGTGGAGTAGTTCTCTACGCCCTCCTCTGCGGAACTCTACCCTTCGATGATGAACATGTGACCACCTTGTTCAGGTTTCTAATTTATACACGTGACCACCTTGTTCAAGATTTTTTATACACGTGACCACCTTGTTAAAGGTTTCTTTCTATACACGTGACTACCTTGTTCAGGTTTCTAGTTATAAACTTGACCACCTTGTTCAGGTTTCTATTTATACACGTGACCAGATTGTTCAGGTTTCTCTTTAAAAACGTGACCAGATTGTTCAGGTTTCTATTTATACACGTGACCACCTTGTTCAGGTTTCTATACACACGTGACCGCAATGTTCATGTTTCTATTTATACACGTGGCCACCTTGTTCAGGTTCCTCTTTATACACGTGATCACCTTGTTTATATTTCTATTTATACACATTACAACATTGTTCAGGTTTCTATTATAGACAAGACCACATTGTTCATGTTTCTACTTATACACGTGACCACCTTGTTCAAGTTTCTATCTATACACGTGACCACATTGTTCAGGTTTCTATTCATACACTTGACAAAATTGTTCAGGTTTCTATTTATACACGTGACCACATTGTTCAGGTTTCTATTTATAAACTTGACCACATTGTTCAGGTTTCTATTTATACACGTGACCATATTATTCAGGTTTCTATTTATACACATGACCACATCGTTCAGGTTTCTATTTTTACACGTGACCACATTGTTCAGGTTTCTATTTATACACGTGACCAGATTGTTCAGGTTTCTCCTTAAACATGTGACCACCTTGTTTATGTTTCTATTTATACACATGACAACATTGTTCAGATTTATACACGTGACCACATTGTTCAAGTTTCTACTTATACACGTGACCACATTTCTCATGTTTCTCTTTATACACGTGACCGCATTGTTCAAGTTTCTATTTATACACGTGACCACATTGTTCAGATTTCTATTTATACACTTTACAACATTTATACACGTGACCGCATTGTTCAAGTTTCTATTTATACACGTGACCACATTGTTCAGGTTTCTATTTATAAGCGTGACCACATTGTTCAGGTTTTTATTTATACACGTGACCACCTTGTTCAGGTTTCTATTTATACACTTGACCACATTGTTCAGGTTTCTATTTATACACTTGACCACATTGTTCAGGTTTCTAATTTATTCAATAAACATGGCAGAATTATACATTTTCATTTAACTTTTAGCTTTGTAATTTAAAGCTATGTAGGTCAGCTTCCGTTGAAAACTCGTGCCAAAAGTCGAATAGTTAAAGAAATGTATTAAAATATTCTCGATTCAAACTGGAAATACACTAATTATAGCCATTATTGGAGCTAGCAGTGTTTGTGAAAATATTGGATAGTTTTTTTAATCCTCTCTACATTATTAATTACCAACACCAAATATCTGGTTAAAAATTGTTTTTTGACCTTTTTAAAATATTGATTTGATTTTTGAAAATGTTCAGGAAGATAAAATCCGGTATATTCCCTGTACCTGACTACCTTAACAAAAGTGTTGTGAGCCTACTCTGCCATATGCTGCAAACAGGGATATAATTCATCTTCAACTAATTTATACGAATTAAAATTTAAACGGACTAAAACTTGTAATTTTTTATTCTCTGAATGAAGACAGTTTATTCTGTAAAAAATATGACCAATTGATCTTTTATTTTGTTTTCTCAAATATAGTGATTTTGTCTGACAAATCACGAGAAAAAAACGTTTGTTTTTATCTACTTTTTATATTTGTCCTGAATTCAGTGTTAGAAATCAACAAAAATTAGAACCTTATGTCGCATCTGATGTTTGTCGATCTAAAAGAAGCGTGCGGCCGTGTAGATCAAGGAATCTTGCAGCTTGCTGCAAAAGCTAAAGCCGAAAACCTTCATAAACTTTCTAACAAACCATTACTTCCAAAATAATATTTTAACGGCTGCAATAGTAGAACGTTGCAGACTCCAAAACAGTAATCCGGAACACAAACTTCAATTGGATATGGGTAAAACATAATTAGGAACTTTATAACCTACATAGAAATTACATAATTGTTGGAATCCTCCTACATAGAAATTACATAATTGTTGGAATCCTCCTACATAGAAATTACATAATTGTTGTATTCCTCCTACATAGTAATTACATAATTGTTGGAATCCTCCTACATAGAAATTACATAATTGTTGTATTCCTCCTACATAGAAATTGCATAATTGTTGTATTCCTCCTACATAGAAATTACATAATTGTTGGAATCCTCCTACATAGAAATTACATAATTATTGGATTCCTCCTACATAGAAATTACATAATTGTTGGATTCCTTAACCCAGATACAATTGGCTAAATTCCCAGATTATTGCCCACAAGCATACTACAGTCATTTTGATCCGTATTCCCGTCATGATTCTATATCTATAAATAATACATAATTCTTCAGGGTACCATTTTCTATTGATAATACATTCTTCTCAAATTTATCAATTGAATGATTCCTAAAATCGATTACATTAAATTCCAGTAGGGCAGATAAAGATCATTATTCAATATTGCTTAGAATAATGTTGGCATCTGATGGTAGACTGGCACAATGTCGGTTGTCCGTTGGGCGAAAATTACATTGAAAAATCTGAAATGAAGTATAGTTCGGTGATTCATTGCAAATCATAAACCCAGACTACAATTTTGATATAGTAAAGTCATTTTGAAACTGTAGAACGGACGTAGGACTCATAGAAGTCTGATTTGATTTGATTTTTCTGTATATTATATCTTTAAACGTCCGTCCTTATTTCGGTTATTTTTAAGACACTTTTAGCCACATTTTTGATGATTATTTATGATAAAGATCCAATGAAGAGAGCTACAGTTGAGGATATAAGGAAACATGATTGGTTTATGAAGGTAACAAATACATCTTAAAATTTTAATAGAGAACAAAAGTTCTTATTTCTTTTCTTTTTTTGATAAAGCTACATTTTGAATTAAGCTATCCCCAAGTTCCAAACTCTTAAGAAATCTTCCCCTTAAATCATAAAGGTTATGTTGAGAAAAGAATAAATAAAAAGCAAGAGGTTAAAAGCTTTGAGAACCAGAAAACTGTGGATTGAATGTAGGGTTTGTAATCTTTAATTGAGAAATGTGACTAAGGATTTTGTAACTTGCAAATGTTCATCTGATATATTTCTAAAAATGTTCAGAGCACTTATTCAGAAAATGTCTCTTAAATGTACAAAATTACAAGCTATGTAGCGACTAGGGCTGGGGGTCGTTCTTGGGGAACGATCGTTCTTTCTCGATAACGACGGAACGGAACGGAACGGAACGGAACGGAACGGAACGGAACGGAACGGAACGGAAAGGAACAGAACAGAACGGAACGGAATGGAACGGAATGGAACGGAACGATTTCCAAAAAGTAGGAAAAAAGACCACGAGAATTCCACTGTTTTCTGGTTCTTACTGTAGGTTGTAATGTGAAACTACATTTTTCATGTTTTCCTCCTCTTTCCCTGTTTCTATTCTAATCGTTATTTATTATTTAGGACTGTCCCGGATATTTGTTTCCGGACCGAGTAACCGATACAAGCATCGTAGATATGGAGGTAAAAAGATTTTTTTTTCTTTTTAATTCCTTTAAACTTTACATTTAATTTTAGAAGTAGTTTTGGAGCTGTTTGACAATCTGTTGCAATAACTTGTGATTTAAGATTAAAAAACTGTTAAACGCGTATGGTTAAGTGAATCGTGAATAGCGCTCTTGATAAAGCTTTTATAAATCTCTTAACCTGTGCTGTGCAGGTTATTGCTGAAGTGTCCCAGAAGTGTGGTGTAGATGAGGCTGAGATACATAGCGCTCTTCTGTCTGATGATCTACACAATCCTCTCGTCATCGCATACAACCTCGTCATAGACAACAAGAGGATTGAGAACGCCAAGGCCGAGGAGTTCAACGATTTCTTCGCCGGAGGTAAAAAGGGTTTATTTTTTTAAAAGCAAAATCTGGACCATTTTCTGTTCACTCGATAAAAGATAAAAAATTTTCAGTGTAAATTTTTTGCTCGTCCCTTCTGTGCCTTTTATCTACCTGTAGATTTCAGGGGGGCCCCATTTGGTGGAGAGGGGGGGGGGGGTGAAATTTCATTTATTTACTCCAACCCGTAAAATTGTTGCCGATGCGTGCAAACGTACATCTGGATGGGAAAATTATTTTCAAACTTGCAGGGAAAAAGATATTTCAAGAAAAAATAGATACCCCCTTTTCTATATAATATATCCAGGTTTGAGTCCCGCGGCTCCTTCAGATATGGCTCCAAGTCCTCAGAAACCTCATCCGGAGAGGATTGCTCCTCTCCGAGAGAACGCAGTTACTCCGGTTGAGAAAACTCATCGCGGAGCTCCAATCAAACGATCCAAGTGGCATCTAGGTAACAAAGAATATATAATTTGTTCAGGTGTACACAGTTTTTAGGAAGGATGGGGGATTTGATTTTCCATGAAATCTTCCCCTGACCAACAAAAGTTCCCTTCAAATCTTTTGTTTCCCCCCAGTCAGCAATCTATATAATAAAACAAGAAATTCGTATATATGTTGCGTATAGCCGGACAAACGGCTGGACCGATTGGGCAAAAATTTTTTGTGGACATTCATGGGTGGCCGGGGGTGTTATAGGCTGAAAAATAATTCGAAATTTTTTTCAACATTTTTTTTTCAACATTTTTTTCATGGGCAATGCCAGGCCCAATTCAGCTAGTAAGCAATAAACATTAAACTCTAAAAATTCCGATCATGTTGGGATAACAAAGATGGAGGAAATGGGGGGTTATTACTTGTAAAGAAAATACATTTATGTTTTTTCTTAATTTTAAATAACTATTATGATGTCAGGTATCCGATCCCAGAGTAAACCTCATGATATAATGAGTGAAGTTTACCGGGCAATGAAAGCTCTGGATTTTGAATGGAAGATAATTAATCCATACTTCGTTCAGGTAATTTAGATAATTTAGATAGATTTGATAGATTTGATAATTAAGATAATTGAGATAATTGAGACAATTGAGACAATTGAGACAATTGAGACAATTGAGACAATTGAGACAATTGAGACAATTGAGACAATTGAGACAATTGAGACAATTGAGACAATTGAGACAATTGAGACAATTGAGACAATTGAGACAATTGAGACAATTGAGACAATTGAGACAATTGAGATAATTGAGATAATTGAAATAATGAGACCATTGAGACTAATGAGACCATTGAGACAATTGAGACAATTGAGATAATAATTAAGATAATTAAGATTATTTTGATAGCCATTTCAAACTCTTAAATATGAGTTATAAATCTTTATTTCTAAAAAGTACATAAATTTTAAACAAAGGATTAGTTTTCAGTGACGACTGCAACTCTGAACTTGGATTTCTCTTAGCATGTGCGTTGCCACAAAAAAAAATATTTGATTCTCAAAAAAAAACATTTGAATGTTTGATTCTCATTGGATACAAACAGACAGACAAGCCAAGTTTATATTTATATAGATAAATACTGACGGCGATCGGGTTACCTCAAAATAGGGGTGCTTCCCGATCTCTTTTCTTAGGATTTCTTGTTATTTGCGTTGTCTGCGTTTTTACACCAGTTTTTAGAATCTATAAGCTATATTATTTATATTTATTAAACATAGGATCTAAAATATTTTGTCAAGGTGCGGAGAAAGAATCCTGGAAACGCAAAATATGTAAAGATGTCACTTCAGCTCTACCAGGTTTCATTAGATCATTGTTTAATATTAGGGACATCTTTCTAAACCTCCCTTTATATAACAGGAAATATAAAGTTTGATGCCTTAAGATTTAGCTTGAAACTACTCTTTCACAAATTTAAACATTCCAAACGTTGTAGATTTTGTCTTTGATGACCGAGTGGAGACGTTTGTTTTTAAAACTAAATATTAAAACCCGCGGCCCTCTGAGAGCAACCCTTGGAGTTTGGAGCAGAGACAAACTTCAGATTTGATAATTTCATTCTCAATTGTTCATATGTTTCTGCTGTGCATATTCTAGGGCACTAACTCTTTTAATGAATGGTCATTTAAATCCAAATTAGCTTAATCCAAAATAAATGCGGCAGAGGCGTATTCAGGGGGGCTAAGGGGCTGAGCCCCCCCCCCCCTTAACCAGTGAAATCTATTGATTTCAGGGAGTTTTCAGGCTTCAATGAATAAAAAAACTTTAAGCCCCCCCTGCACAAATTCCTGAATACGCCCCTTAATTGCGGAATCGGCATTAAGGTTCACCTTGAAATAGATTTACCAGTTTAAGTTTACACGGTAAATCATCCCTGCCCTTATCTATTTCATTGGAAAGATTACCCTGCAAAATGTTCTCAATATAAATTATATTCGGCTGAAAGCATTTGGCTTTATATTGGGATATTTTTGTTTCTTTGAACAACTTCTTCTGTAGGTTGATTACAAGTCTTATTTACTGGACTTCAAGAGTCTGGTCGAGGAGGACCCCAGGGACCTCACTGCAGACAGGAGGAGTCCAGTCCAAGCTGTAGAACTCAGTTCTAGTCTTGATCAGAACAGAACACTCAAAACAGCACAGGTAGGTTAATTATCAATGCTTAAGCGTAACTTTGAATTTTCTGAAATTATTTACAACGCATTTTTTAAAAAGAATGAAAATTTTGCACTTTTTGTGCTTGTAAACCTTTTAAAATCATATATTTTCCCCCAATTTTTCCCCTCAATTCAATTAATAATTGTGTTTTGTAACAATGTAGTGTGGGGGTAAATCATTTGTTATGAAAATATATACCCTGTGTCAATCATCTCCTAAAATATGACAAGCCTATCCTGTTCCTCACTTATCAGGGGAAATTGTTGTAATAAGTAAATTATGTTAAAGGGACTGTAAACGTAATTTAAAGTGACTCTTTTTTATAAAGTAGCATGTCCGATTCTTAACAGCTCCCTTAAACCCTTTTTTGTTTTTGAAAACTGATTATTTTCAGCTAGAAAACCGACGATATCTTTCACTTTATTGATCAAGTTAAGGTGTTAAGGATACCGCTGTGAATCGGACATGCTCCTCTTTTTTTAATGGAAGGTCGATTAAAATTACGACTGTCCCTTTAACTTCTAAAAGTTTAGCTTTTTATTTATCTTCCTTTGTAAGGAGAAAAAAATAAAAGATAGTTAATTAAAATAAAATGATAATTAAAGAAATAAAAATGATAATGAATAAGAATAGAATAGTTGGACTGACTCATCAAAATTTGCTTCAAACAATGAATCGACCTAATTTAAAGGCATGATAACTAAAGCGACATTGTAAAGCGGCAACTTGACTGTCTTTTTTCTAAATCTGAAATGACATATTTTATTTATACTTGATACTTTCGAGGAAGTTTTCCATTTTTCACCTAGAAATGCTGAGAATATCTTAATTTCTACTTCTTGATAAGCCTAGTGCAGGGGTGTATATTTTTAAGAATCCTCCCCCCTGCACAAAGGGGAAAATTATTTTTAAATGGGGGGAATTTTTTTTCAAGAAAACATACACCCCTGCTATAGTGGTTATTAATTAATATGCAAATGTTCAAAAATGACACGAAACATGTTTAGGTTCTGGACGGATCAATAACGGGACACCATACAATGGAATTCTTTGAGATGTGCGCAGCACTGATTACTCAACTCGCAAGATAATCATGAAGGAAAATAGACCTGGAGGAGATTATATAGATACATATAATCCTTAATCCCAGTTGTTTCAACTCGTCATGTGCTCATATAACATATAAGAATTTTTCATATAAAAAATTTTTTTAATCTGCAATTTGCATGGCGGCGGGGCGGCATTATTTGAAATTAATGTTTTTTTTCGTTATTTTTGAGTTATATAATATATTTATTCTATTTAATTTTATATTCATTTTATTTTGTTTATATATATGGGATATATTCTAATTATATTTAACCAGTAATAAAACAAGATTGATTTACCTTTTCTGATCCTTAAAACATATATTTTTTTGGGGAGGGGGGGGAGGGGAGGAGGTGGAGGGGTCGAATCTTTTGCCCAAATTATGTGCAACAAACTATTTGTTTTAACGAAATAAATTCGTACTAGAAAAGATTGACAGTCTTTATAAGATATGAAACATTGTATCTAAAAAGATTATTATCATGGGTTCATGTCTGTCCTTAAAGAATAAAAATTCTTGTTTTATAATTGTTGTAAGTTTACGAATAGTTCGTATGTAAATTACAGGTTTACAGAATGTATATATATCATAAAATTTTGTAATATATTTATGGTGACATTTGTTTGAAAACAATCATTCTATCATCAATTGTTTATTCTAATTAAAGCGGAACATAAATTTTTAAAATTAATAAAAAGGATTTATTTCCCCCGTGTTTACTTCAATGCCCAGATATTGTTAAATATATTTATTTGATTGATTTATCCTTTACTTGATGTGCATGTTGTATTTAAATATATTTTCAGAGACGTTTCTAGGTTTTATTATTATTACAAAAGTACCGCACGCAGTGTAAAATGTCTAGTGCTCCGCTTGAGGCTCGATTCGGAATGATGGAGTTGAACAACTGGACAATCTTCAGTTTATTAGACAGAGAGTTTGCGGCACAGATTAGGCTCGCGTGTGTCTTTGGTAAGACCCTCTTTTTGGCTTTTCACTTGATATACAGAAACCTGTAATCTTGGAATAAAAAACATATATTATTGAAAACCAGGACAAGGAAAGGACTTGAACCTCCAATCCATTACTGGAGTCCATTATCATCCCTGCCCTTTGTGATTTGATTTGATTTGATTCATAATCTTGTTATTACTGATCAGATCTTTTTGTGGTATCATTCTTTTTAAACGTAAAGTCTTTTAATGTTAACGACTTGTTGGTAAATATATTGATAATTTTTGACTACTGTTCTATATAAGAACTAACTTGTAGAGTTATGCTACAGGAGAGAAAGAAAGAAATTGTCAGAATTCAATACTTTTTTAGCAGGAAAACTACGATATTTTCCACGATTTTGTTTAGAAGGTTATAACCTTTGTGAATCTAACATGTCATTCCTCAAGTGGAGGGTCTGTTAAAGTTCTTGTTGTCTAGGTAACTTAGGAAACGAAGCCCTGTTAGTGACGAGGGATGACGAGGTGTTTGCTCTTGGTTCTAACGGAGCTGGTTGTCTAGGACAAGGAGATATGCATTCATCCCTTCAACCCAAACAAATAGAACCTCTCTGCTACAAGGTGTGTTCTTTCATTTGTGAGGATATATGTTATGGAAACATCATAGATTTAAGTTTTTCAAGCTAATAAAATTTCTCTCTTTTTTCACAATCTTTTGAATTAAAAGTTGAAATAGTAAATTCTTATGAAAAAGTTATGATCAGTAATTATTGTCGTCTTCATTCTTACTTTTGAAGATTTTGAAATTTCTATTTGCTATAATTTGAATAACTGTTATCTAGAAACTAATATTTGAACAAATATCTTAAAACCAGTGCTTAGGATCCGGATCCGTTGGATCCGCAAGATTTTGGCTTCCTGAATCCGGATCCGCAAGGGGTAAAATATCAACCAAAAACTGCAAAAAAAAACTTTTCTTACTCTTAAAACCCTAATCTGAACTTTTGAAACAAAATTCAGTAAATCTTAATGAAATGATCTGGATCCGGATCCGGGACCGGATCCATTTTTTTCCAGTGCGGATCCGGGATCCGTATCCGCATCAAAATTAAAGGGATTCTAAGCACTGCTAGAAATTATGATTTGAACAACTGTTACCTAGAAAGTATAAATTTTAACAAATGTTTTCTCTAAAAGTATAATTTGAACAATTGTTATCTAGAAAGTATAATTTGAACAACTGTTTTGGGAAAGTATAAATTTTAACAACTAATTAGAAAATATAATTGGAACAAATGTTATCTAAAAAGTATAATTTAAAGAACTATTCATCTAGAAAATATTATTTGAACAATTATCTAGAAACTATAATTTGAACAACTGTTATCTGGAAAGTATAATTTGAACAGCTGTTTATCTAGAAACTATAATTTGAACGTTCAAACTTTTATCTGGAAAGTATAATTTGAACAACAGTTATCTATAATTTGAACAACTTATCTATAAAGTATAATTTGAACAACTGTTATTTAGAAAGTATAATTTTAACAAATGTTATCTAGAAACTATAATTTGAACAGCTGTTATCTAGAAAGTATAATTGGAATAAATGTTATCTAGAAATCAGAAGTTAAGCAACTGTTATCCAGAAAGTATAATTTGAACAACTGTTATCTAGAAAGTAGTTGGGTTTGCGTACGGTTCTGGTCCTCATGTACTTGCGTACACTGAGAGTGGTGAGTTGTACTCCTGGGGTCACAACGGATACTGTCAACTAGGAAACGGATCTACCAACCAGGAAATCATGAATATTTTTTTATTTATATTTCTTTAAAAATGTTCAACACCTGACCTAGAACCAAGGACCTCGCCTTAAACGAGCTGTTATGCCCCAGAAATCACCCATAGCCGCGGGTACAGAAAAAATTGATTTTTATTGCGTGGGGACTAAGTCCTTTTTTAAGGTTTTGGGTTGACCGGATGCCATTGTTGTTAAGTCCACTTCTATCCGTTCGACTAGTTTAAAATATTTTATGATTTAAATCCTAGGGTCTTTCACCAACTTTAATACAGAACTCTCTTACAGGAAGAAAGGTAATGTTGTTTAATTACTAAGACAAACAAAACTTTCCTTGAAAAGAAAATATTTGATCTCACTTTAGTCTTAAGATTTTCTTCTTCAATCCTTTTATCTTTAGTTTTCTAGGGACAAATTATAAGACAAATCTAAGCATTGCTCTTTTCATTTATAGTTTTCCATTGATATGGTGTCCCGTGAATCTAGAATTTACTGACTTTTGACATCCTTTCAACTCTTTATAGGTTTTAATTCTTCCTTGTTACCTTCAAACTTTTCTTTTGGGAAAATAGAACCATAGCAGGGGAGGATACAGGGATCTCCTAGGGGTGAACCAACTCAGAATATTCTCTTAATTTTCCATTGCTTCCCCCAATGCTTTAGGGGTAGCAATTTTCCTTTCAACCATTTCTCCACAGCTCTCCCCTGTATCCGCTCCTGAACCAGAGCCGCCATTCCACTCATCTCTCTGATCCCCTAGATACTTCACCATTTAGTTTCCTAATCTCCAGGTTGTATCTGTAGCCTGTGGATCTCATCACTCCATGTGTCTAACATCAGACGGAGATATATTCTCCTGGGGTCAAAATAACTGCGGGCAGATTGGATCAGGGTCCACTACAAACCAATCTACACCCAGGTACAAGCTTCAAACGATAGAATTAGACTGCCTTAGAATTAATAAGATGGATTGGTATTGGAGATAGGAAGGGAAGAAAAGGATTGGGATGGAAATTGGGATGGGAAAGGACTGGACGGGACGGAATGGAATGGGACGGGATGGAATGGGTCGGAATGGGAAGAGAACAGGAACGTGAGGGGACCGAAGGGAACGGAACAGGATGGGATAAAATGGGATTGGTTAAACTGGATGTAATAGAACGGAATGAAACGGACCGGGACGTTCTTGGTTAAACTTGAAATATATCGACCTCTACTGATTGTTCAGGAAAGTAAGCGCTCCTTTTAACGGTCGGAAGGTTATAGCAGTGACCTGTGGACAGACAAGTAGTATGGCAGTATTAGAGAACGGCGAAGTGTATGGCTGGGGATACAACGGGAACGGTCAGCTTGGTTTAGGGAACAATATTAATCAGCTAACTCCTTGTAGGGTTACTGCATTACAGGTAACTGTACTTCTAGCTGCCGGGAAGTGTTTACTTGAATTTGCTATTCTTCTTTAAAAAAGTATTTTTTTATTTTTCACTGCAAAATCATTTCCTTTCGCAATTCAATTGCTCGAATTTTTCTTCATCATTCATTGGAAATCAAATAGCTGTTCGTACGGTCTTATCATACATTACAGTTACACTTTTTATCGTAAAACCAACTTTATGTCAATTTTATGTTAGAGAAATATTGACTGATTCATTCAAATTATGCATAAATATGCTATTTTTCGTGTTTCAACTTAAAAAAATATTTAAAACTACAGTTCCAATTTTTTTGATTTTTAGTTTTGTTTGGACCATACTGTTTTACCATTGGTATCGTAGGGTATTGTAATAACAAGTGTAGTATGTGGATACGCACACACCCTGGCGGTCAGTGACGAGGGAGCTTTATACGCCTGGGGAGCTAATAGTTACGGTCAACTTGGGACAGGTAATAATACACAGTTATATTAGATCATAATTTAAAAATGAAAGTAGTTTCGGTGTAAGGTCAGAAACATTTTTATCTCGATTAAAAGATGTTAAGAGATTAATTCACAATGTCACACATCATAATATTGCAAGGTTTGATTGAACATCGTCTAAACGAATATATTATTTTCGGCTTAGGTACGCTAATAAACAAGATATCACTCTAATTATATTTGTTAGTGCGAAGTTACGACTCTAGATTTTATTTTATGCACGAATCGGGACAAAAAAAATACTATCCAGTTTTATATTAGAATTTTTTTATTTCTCAATGCTCTCAATGGCTTTTCATAAAAGAAGCTATAATGGAAACTGTTATATCTAGGAAACAAAGCGAATAGTTGTACTCCGATCAAGGTCGGAGATGATCTGGGTAGAATAGTTGAAGTAGCAGCAACTCATTACAATCATATATCTGCTGCAATCACACAGGTAACAACAAGGTCGTAAATAGAAATAAATCTAGGGGGCAAATATGTGCCCCCCCACCCTGCCTAGGAGCTCCTGTGGGGGGGGGGGGTAAAATTAAAAATATTTGGCTTCTTGGATATAAAGCATAAAATACTTAAAAGGTACACATTCAGTCCAATTACCTTTAAATACTACTTTATCTTGCATTTAAACAAACTAGCAGGAAAAAACATGTTCCTTTAAAATCTACATTTTATTTTATATTATTTTAGTATTTTTACTAGAGAAAGTAAGACATTTTTGAAAATGAAAAACTGTGCAAAAAAGTAGGATTACAATCGTAATCTATATTTATTTATATTCGCTATGCCTGGCCAAACGGCTGAACCGAATGAAAGACGAACAATTTTTACTAAAATTTGTATTCAGGATTCACGCTGTTACATGTGGGGTCAATGCCGGGGTCAGAGTGTTGTTGGACCAACAGAGACCCCATTCACATCTCTGCATGACGTTTTTGCATGCTTTGCAACCCCTAGTGTCACTTATATCCCAATGGAAACCGAGGTAGATATTTTTATTCTTTTTAACAGTTACAGGGTGGCCAAAATGTACGGATTGTACGGATTGATTTTTTTTTTACCCTAAAATTGTACGGATTGTACGGATTTGTTTTCAAATTGTACGGATTGTACGGATTTTATCCTGGAAAATACACCGTTTTTTTAAATTTTCACTCATTTCAGCAAATTTTTCATGAAAATAAAAAAAAAATTCTCGTCAAAATGAAGTTAGTTTAACTTATTTTCTGCATTCTAAATAATATTAGATTGATTAATGTTTCAATTGACAATCAAAATTCATTCATAATTTTCGAGATATGTCCAAGAAGTGTTTATTTGAGAATATGTTCCATAAGTACTTATTTTATTGCTTATTCAAGAAGATGTTCCAGTATCCTGTACCCAGTATCATGTACCCAGTATCATTTACCCAGTATCCTGTATCCAGTATCCCGTATCCAGTATCCAGTATCCTGTATCCAATATCCAGTATCCAGTATCCAGTATCCTGTATCCAGTATCCTGTATTCTGTATCCTGTATCTACCAGTATCCAGTATCCTGTATCATGTACCCAGTATCCAGTATCCTGTATCCAGTATCATGTATCCTGTATCATGTACCCTGTATCATGTATCCAGTATCCAGTATCATGCACCTAGTATCATGTACCCAGTATTTAGTTTGTATATATGTATGAAGCCAATTTTTTACAGATTGATTCTTGCTGAAGAAGTTATAACCCTCTTACATGAACTGAACACAAAAGACAATGAATGAAAAATTGAATTTTAATGTTTTTTTTTCAAAAATGGGATTTTTTTCGAAAATTGTGCTGATTGTACAGATTTTTTAAAAAAAATGTACGGATCTTTAAAAAAATGTACGAATTGGTTTAAAAAAATGTACGGATTGTACGGATTTTTTAAAAAAAAATTGTACGGATTGTACGGATTGTTTTTCGAAAATTGTACGGATTGTACGGATTTCTTCTGAAAATGTACGGATTTTTGTACGGATGGGTTCAAAAAAGTTTTGGCCACCCTGCAGTTATTTTTTTTCTTATATTTTTGGACACACGCAGATTTAGACGTAAAAAAACATGACATGTTGGGTAAACAATTATTGAATGAAAGTTAAAGATATATTTCTATTTTTCGTCCATTTCACTTTTTCATGGGATTGGAATCTTAATGATAATCAACCATTTTAAGGTCACCCTCACCCACATATCTGCTCTTTAATGTTTTTAACCCGTCTTTATAAAAGGTCACTTCTGGTCCAAGCGTCCACGACAGCCTAAGAATGGCTTTCGACGATTCCACCACATCTGACGTTCAGTTCCTCGTTGACAACAAGAACATTCATGCGCACAAAGCCGTTCTCAAGATTCGTTGTGAACATTTCAGATCCATGTTTCAGGTTAGAATTTCAAATATTTCCCCCCCCCCTCAAACAAAAATTTTTGTTTTTGTTTTAAAGATGAAAAAGTACGTATTTAGGAGCACTGGGAGGAAGGAAGTATAGAAGGATGTATTGATATCCGACACTTTACCTATCCAGTATACAGGGCCTTCCTCAAATACCTTTACACAGACGAGGTGGATCTACCGCCTGAGGATGCTATTGGTAGGTTTAGACTCTTATATTAAGGTGGATTTACCGCCTGAGGATGCTATTGGTAGGGTTACACTCTTAAATTAAGGTGGATTTACCGCCTGAGGATGCTATAGGTAGGTTTACAATCTTATATTGAAATGGATTTACCGCTTGAGGATCAACCTACAGACAAAGTACAACAACCTAAAGGTTGAAATACAATGAAAACAGGGTTGAGCTCCTCCACTTGCCTTAGCTATATGGGATCTAGTAGTTCAGTCCTGGCTTGAATTTTAAGGATTCAGTGTGTATGCCAGTAAAGCATGGATACTAGGGGAAAAATAAAAAGGATGCTTAAAAAGCACTGACAGAATGGGCTACACACCTCCGCTGGGGTTGAATATGTAAATTTTTACCAGGGAAAGTTGAGCCATATATTTTTACCTGTATAATGCCTTATTCTTACTGGGAGACCTTTGAAGTAGCCATTTTTGTTAGTTCCGAGATGCCATCGTTCCATTTTACCAAATGATATCTAAATAAAGACAGGTAAGTATACTGGAATAGTTCTAACCTCATAAAACTGTTTAGATATAAGCTTATATTATTTAACAGTTAAACCAAGCTTGGAATGCATGTTACTCAGGTGGCTTGTGGATTGCTGTAAGCCATGATTCAATCATTTTACCCAGCTTTTTACCACTTATCATTAGGTCTGTTTTGTGGAACCATTCCCGCTAAGATAAGCTCGTAAAACCCCGTACATTAGTTATTGCGCCTTTGGCCTTGTACTCAGACAGAAAATTGGAAATGTATAAATCTCTTCTGAGCTATGGCAACTACTGGGCATTCAAAGATAACATGTTGCTTCGTTAATTTAATATTGAGGCCCTTTGATTCGCAGTGTGGGCAGACATCATATTTAAATCCATATCGGTTTTTGTACCTGTTACCCAATTGAGCATTTCCGCCCCTGACTTGGCATATAGTTTTACTTGATTTAGAGTCATTAACATGGGATTGGAGTTTAAACCTAGTCCAAGGTACAATATTGCTGGGATGGCACATGTTTCCCATACTCTTTTACCCTAGAAACCAGAAGTCGTCCTAAGGACGTCATGAGGACGTCAATAATTACCAGTGGGACGTCCGGCGATGTCATATTTTAGGTGTTGAGGACGTTTAACGCAAGGATTCTTACGTCCTCACGACCTAATTATTGAAGTCAAAACGACTTCACTTTGGACGTCCAAATGACCAAACTTTTGACTTCCAAATGACCAAACTTTTGACGTCCAAATGGCCAAAGTTTTGACGTCCAAATGACCAAAGTTTAAACGTGCAAATGACTAAACTAGTCATTTATTTATCTTACCTTTATACACTGAACACTGAACAGAGCCTAATTTATTCTATTTGTACTGCTACCCTTTAACCCCCCCCCCCCCCCTGGTATTACATTTATACTGTACAACCACGCCAGGGGTCGTCTTTTTGAATGTTCTATTTTTGAACCCTGGATGTAAGCGCACCGGGTGTTGGGATTTTCAGGGACCTGAGTAATCCGAGTCTCAAGGTTGACATCCACCAACCCATCCATCCCCTATTAGGACACAGGTCCAGTGCTGAGGATGGTTTATTTCTTTGTAAAATCATTAATGGCATTTTCAATTATTTGAACTAAGTCTGGCATAAATAATTTGCATTTATATTTCAATTTCGGGTTCATCTAAATTAGCCCACCTGCTACTTATTTTAATATATTATCATACATCTTAAGCTATAACGTTCTGTCCGTTAGCCCTGCAAACTGGGCACATTTTCCACTGTTTTCCCGTACTTATTTTCCATGAGATTTCCCATTAGCAGGTAGCCTGACCTGGCCATATTCAGAATTTTACTTCGTCTATAATCGTTGATATGCTCTTGAAATAACAATTGTATTTCAAGTCTATATATCTTAGGAACCTGATAATGTAAACCTTTCAAACTTAAACTTAGAAATCAGTGTTCAATAGAATATCTGCGACATCAGGTTGCAAACATAAAATGATTGTTTGATCGAAAAGAGAAGTGCGCGTTTCAGATTTGAAGAAAATCTAGAAAAGTTCTAATTATAATTTGAAATATTTTTATTTTTTTAGGTTTACTAGACCTAGCCAATTCCTACTGCGAGCAGCAGTTGAAGAGAAGATGTGAGAGGATTATTAAACAAGGGATTACTGTGGAGAACGTGGCTATGCTTTATGCTACAGCAATCAAATATCAGGTCAGACACATCAAATTTAGATCAGAATTTTACATGTTTTCAATCAACATCCCTAAAATAAACGAAAACAGTCGTATGTGTATTTTAGCGTTAAAATTTGTCCTTTTTCTTAGGGCTAGATTGGAGTGGAGCGAATTACATACATTACACAAAATCAACAGCAGGAAAGGGGTTGAGTTCTCAGCAGATTACATTCTTATTGTTGGTCTTTTGTACATGATCCTCAAGTTTAATGTGGAAACAGCGACTATAATCATGATTGTTTCTTCAAATTCTCTAGACAACGTACAATACAGCTGTATAGTTGGAACCATTTATAATAGCCCAATTTTACTGAATTAAATTGTTATAATAGCCCAATTTTACTGAATTAAATTGTTAATAATTATAATATTTATTTAAGAGTTTTCGTTTATGATTTTTTTTCTTCCAGGCAAAGGAGTTAGAGGAGTTCTGCTTTAAGTTCAGTTTAAACCATATGACAGCAGTCACACAGACAGAAGCGTTTACCAAACTAGACGAGGGCACGGTCAAGGACTTCATAGCCAAGGTACAATTTTTACATTTAGATTTGGTGAAGGAAATGTTGATCTTGATTTTATATTTTATCATTTATATATATATATTATATATTGTTGTTATTATTTTGGATAAAACTTTGATTTAATTTAATTTTGCTATATTATTCTGAGTTTTTTTCATGATTTTGTTTTTTCTAACAATTTTATTGATTTAAATGACACAAACTAAAATTTTGCTGATATTTTAGGCGGCGCAGAGTGGAGCATTCAAATCTTGATGTTAACTCATGGCCGGTTGACCAGTCAGAGATGATTCTTGGGTAGACTGGTCATTGTGTCAGCTCATTGCCAGTTGACCGATCATTAGTGTCTCATGGCATGTTGACCAGTCAGCAGGTTGACCGGTCATTTGTTGACTACGCTATGGATAGCTCAACCTGTTGGGTTCATTGCGTAACCTTAAGTATTTACTCTACGTACTGTATTTACTGTATTCACTATATGTACTTGGGATGTACACAGTACAGTAAATTCATGCAGTTTTTTACAAACAATAAAATCAAATTATAGGAGCTACAAGGACACAGCTAAATTAGTCGTATCGTAAACTATATTTATACCAAATAATTTTCAATCAGGTTTTAAGAACTAAATTATAGGAGCTACAAGGGCACAAAGCTAAACCAATCGTATCGTAAACCAATCGTATACCAAATAACTGTCATTCAGGGTGCAGGGTTTCTATAATATTTTAAATTGTCGCGGACTCTCACAATATATACAGTATGGTACATTAGTTCCATTGTGTAGCTATCAAATATTATATAATCTAATTGCTCATAATTGTTTTTGTCAAATCATCGCACCATTTTTACCATAAATGCTTTATTGCGTATTTTATGCTTCTGAATTTGCCAAATTTGTAACTTTTATCTACTATTAATTGTCAGAATTTGTCTCAAAAATTGTTAAAGTTTAATTGCATTTATCATTTAATATGAGTTGTTGTATTTATAAGAAACCCGTTACCAAATTTGTGATTATCACAAATAAAATTTTAACCAATATAGAATCCTAGCTGTTTGAAAACCTTTGACCTTATTCCTCCTGTATTAAAATTCTACACGATTTAAATTTATTATCATTATCATTGGATTTGTTTATTTATAGTGTGTTAAATTTTAAGATTGTATTTAGATTAATAACTTGTCAAGACTAATGTTAAATAGGTTTAATTAAAAATAATGTTGTAAACTTAAAATAAAATGGATAATTTTTTTTTAACAATAAAATTATTTGTATTTAAATTTTTTCTTTTGATTCAAACATATAGCTTCTCAATAGCACGAATAGCACTGGGTTTGCAACGAAAAAATATAATCGTTTCGCGAACATTTTCACATTTTTTCGTATTTCGTTCGATTTCGAAAATTTTTTCGCTTGTTTCACGAAGATTCGCGAAAAAACTGCGAAATAAGAAATACGAAAATTTCGCAAAATAATTCAGAACTGAAAAGACAAAATACAGCGTCCATACCTATGGTTATTGCGAACATATTTTTCGTGACATTTTTCTTTCGCGAAATTTCGCTTCTTTATCGAATTTTTCGCTATTATCATTTTCGCAAAAAAGTTTGCCGAAAGAAAATTTTCGCATTTTTTCGTGAAACATTTCGTTCGCCGTAAACTGCACTTCTAGGGAAAACAGGCAAAATATCTAGTTTAATCAGTCTTCAAAGTTCATTCATTAACTTTGACCCTAATAAAGTTCTTTGCATGTAACAAAAGTTCACGCCGGCCCCAATTACTTATTTATCAATGCTAGTTTTTACTTTTGTGCCCCCCCCCCCCCTGTAAAAACTCCTAGCGTACCAGGCCTAGCCGAGTCGGCCGAGACTACCACAATAAGGATATTAGCTGCTGCACTGTTTTAAATGGTTAATAACCTTTATAAGCCTCATTCGGCCAATGAATAATTATGGAAATGATGCAGAGGTTTAAAATTACAAAACTGTCGTGTATCAATTGTAAGAAAAAAATAACTGAAGGCAAGCAAATCTCTAAAGTTAATTTTTTTTGTTTTGTGTTCCTATAAATATGAAATAATTAGATCGCTTTTATTCCCCAATGATCTGAATTTGTCCGAAAAAATAATTTTTATTACGTATTCCCAACTGTTCAACGAAAAGACGACATTTAGGAGGAAACTTGGAGAAAGGAGGGACGGGTGAGAGACTGGTCATTGCTCCAGCTGCATCAAATCCTCACATTTCGGAGGAATTCTAGTATAGTTTTAAGTCCTCTACAGCGTATTGTTGAAGACTTATGTGATCTTGTTTGTCATAAATGCGTTATTTTTCTAAAATTTCCTTGATTTTGATAGTGTTTAAGGTGAAAAAGGCCTCTTGCTAAGTAGGACAGTAGGTTATCAGCTGAATACGGAACATGGTAGAGTTGAAAGCAAGCCTCCCAATTTCGGGCTTTTTACTCATCGTTACTGGCATAATTATGAAGCTCTTATGACGAATCATCATAATAGGTTATTCTTGTGTGGGTAAAAAATATTATATTTCAAATTTTTTCCACAAATATTTTTGGAAATAAAATCGGGGTCTGTTCTAGAAAACGATTTTAGGATTCTCCCCCCCCTCCTATCAATTTTTTACATAGCCACTATAGCTCAGCAAAATTATTATTTTTTTTAGGGTAAGGTTAGGTTAAGACAATTTCTGGGCCGAGCGCCGCGGCCACATGACCAATGTATTTCATAGGAGATCCATGTATAAAATTGATAGCTAATTAATTTAGAAGATGGGCGCGAAGCGCCCTCTAAGGCTAGAAAGAAGGGCGCGAAGCGCCTTGAATTTCTAATCTAATTAAATCTATGATTGAATTCATGTTATCATTGTTAATTTCGGCACACACGTTGACAAATTGTCTTTATTGTATTATTGAAAAATATTCGTTATCCTAAAATTTTCAGATAAAGTAATTAAAATGGCTCTTAAACGAATCAACAAAGAACTGAAAGATATTGCAAATGATCCTCCTGCTCAGTGCTCAGCTGGACCTGTCGGAGACGATCCATTCCACTGGCAAGCAACCATCCTAGGTAATAATCCTCAATTTATAACTCATCAAAATGTGCTTTATTGAGAAAATAAAAAACTTAAAAGACGATTTTTCCCGATTCAGCTTTTTATATTTATTATTTAAAAACCATTTATTTTTCCTAATTTAGCGAAGAAAACCATTAGAAAATTTAATATGTATAATTTCTAAGGGAAAAAAAAATATTTTTAAAGTGGGAGGGGGGGAGAAAAAAAATGTCTAGAAAATATACACTCCAGATTTATTTGTAAGAAGCGAATCAGATTTTAAACTTTTTTTTGTTATAGGTCCTTCAGAATCCCCGTTCGAGGGTGGAGTATTCTTCCTCAACATTCACTTCCCGACGGACTACCCCTTCAAGCCTCCAAAGTTTGCGTTTACTACGCGTATCTATCATCCTAATATAAACAGTAACGGTGCGATCTGTTTAGATATTCTCAGGTCTCAGTGGTCCCCAGCTCTCACTGTCTCAAAGGTAATATACAAATTTTATTTAGTGCCCTTATTGGCCATGAGAAGGGGGGGGGAATAATTATTGGGGGATTATCATTGTCTTCCCCCCTCCCCTCAAGTGAACGAAAGAAGAGGGAGGGGGTTCAACGTTCTGACGAACTGAAATATGGGACCTAAATTGTTTTCTTTCATATTTTGATTCTCCAATCCGCCCCCCCCCCAAAAAAAAAAAAGAATAAATCCACAAGACTTAGCATTTTTCTTCATTACTAAGTCAAGTGAAATAAAATCTCTTAAGATTGCACTTGTGTTAAAGAAACGAGATTATTTTTAAGGAAAATCATTACTCCACTGATTTTTAAATTAATATTATACACCTGATTAGCTTTAACCTAATGTTTGGGACAAATATTTTTTATTGGGGGGGGAATTGCATGATTCTTGACAGGTAGAGTATAAGTTAAGGCCGAAGGAAAATAACAGGGGTTACTATCTCATCTTTCTTTTTTCCCCAAAGCCTCAAAAATCTTTCCAAATTATGGTGAAATGTGTTACCCCAAAATATCTTCAGGGTGAGTCAAAAATAAGTGTGATTAGTGGCGCCAGTGCTAAATTGTTATACCTTTTTTTGTGCAAATTTTTAATTTTTTTTGGTATTCCAATGGCCCCAAAAAAATCCGCGAACCTTTTTTCTCTCAAAATAAAAAGTTAAGAAAAGCAAAAAATGTGTATATAAATTAGTTCAATCGAAATCTAAAACTATATAAAGATTGAATCATAGAAAATTCGCAATATTGTAACGAGAAAATTTGCTATTTGAAGTTCTAACCTAATTTTTAATAATAATTTAATAATAATTTTTAAGGAAAATTTGTTTTTCGATGGCTCATCAGGTTTAAATTGGACAGCGTATATTTAAAATTTTAGAATATACTAAGAAGAAAGGAACTAGACAAATCAAACTTTTCCTTTAAAATTAGACCAGAACTGAAAATTGCAAATTTTCTTTTTACAATTTTGCGAATTTTCTGTGATTTTAAATAATTCATATACACATTTTTGCATTTCTGATCTTTTGATTTTGAGAGAAAAAAGGGTTCGTGGATTTTTTTTTAGTCATTGGAATACCGAAAACAACAAAAAATTTCAAAAAATATTGAGAAAAAAAAAACAAAATACAGGCGAGTTGCACAAAAAGGTACTATATTGCACCAGGCGCCGCTGATCAAACTTTTTTTTTACTCACCCTGTATATTAAAAAAAAGGTCAAAATGTCTAAAAGAAAAAGAATTTGCTACGATTTGTTTTATCTAGGTTTTTTTTTCATAAGTGGTCTGATACTTTTCCTTTTTTTAAAAAAAAAAGTCATTTTCCATAATAAATAATATATTTTGAAAGTTGTTTTTTGGAAAGTTGTAAATTGTGTAGTTGTTTAAGTTTCATAAAGTGTTTTTGGTTGTTGTTGTTGTTATTGCGATTGTTATCCAGGTGTTGTTGTCTATCTGCTCCCTACTCTGTGACCCCAACCCCGACGACCCCCTCGTCCCTGAGATCGCCAGGCTATACAAGACGGACATGAACAAGTACAACGACTGCGCAAAGGAGTGGACAAGAAAATACGCCATGTGATCTAGCTTCGTTAAACACTAGCTTAATTCATCCTTCGCTGTCCTTGGAAGACGATATTAAACATTTAATTCAATATTCAGATTAAAGATTAGGTGGTAATACGGTACACTTAGTTTTCTAAAACCTCTTTCCGGTTCAATTATAGGCTTTTATTGAATTCAGTCGTATTCTAGACGAGTTACTTTATCAACTAATATACATTACATCTAGTACTTAGGATGATATGAGTACTATACTTCATTTAATCAGCAGGAATGGGGACAGGGGGCCCAGGTGGGGGGGGGGGCACTTTTTCGAAATTATCTGATTTTTGACTAAGATATTGTTAACATGCGTTAAGGGCGTTTTCTTGTAATTTAAAGACACCATAAGAGTGATTTTGCTGATTCTTTTAGTTTAACTAATGATTTGGGTACTTGGGTAGGGTTTCCTTAGGATGGGAAAGACTTGAATTTACTCCTAATTATGATAATTCCAGACAGCTTGCTCTCATGGTGTTCTAGTATTTGTATTTATCTCTCCTCAATCTACTTCTCCTTGTCCTTCTCCTCTCACCCTCCTCCTTCTCCTAGTTCAGTGTTCGTGACCAAAACTAATTCTCGTCAAGTTATCATGTAATAATGTCATTTATTTCAGGCAAAATGTCGCAGCCGAACGCTCATAAACATGCTCGCTATAAAAACCAGGAAAATTATTTGACAATGCATAAAATAACAAATATTGTTTATGTACTCTGTAACCTCTAAAATAAAACAAGTGTTTAAACGGGTGCATATTTAGGTTACTTTACAGCATACAGATCGAGAGTTAAGATGTATTACTAACTATAGAAGGATGTACACAGGATTTAGAAAAGGAGTCAACAAAAATAATACATACTACTTATAAATGATAAATCGGCTTTAATTCAATATGTTTACTTTGTCTAGATCCTGGAAAATAGTCTAATATCTACACTGTCGTGGTTTTATTTTATTTTTGAATCTCCATTTTCTTACTACGTGTATATTTATCAAATTGATCATTTAGAAATTTGAGGTCAATTCATAGATATTCAGATGTTACTAACTCATATTTCTTTCAACATACACCCCCGTCCCCCTCAAATATCATAAATATTCTTTCAATTTGAACTCAGAAGTTTTAAAAAATATGAATAAATCCTTAATCCGGATCCAAAGGGCATAATGCCAACCAAAACCTGTTAAATATTTACTGTTTGATCTCAAATACAAATCTCAATTGTTTACTAATGAGCTATTATTAAAACTTCGTAATCTTTGAATGGGTTATTAAGCAAAAGCATAAAAATTTGCGACAAGTAAGAAATTTTAATATTTTTAATCTGTTAAATGGATCCTGATCACTGTCTTTGAGAAACGTTGTTAAATAAGTTTTTGTTGGTGCAGGGTATGGATGTGCAGGAGATGAGGCGGATCAGGGAGGAGGAGGGGATCCAGCTCAGGAAACAGAAGAGGGAGCAACAGCTCTTCAAGCGGAGAAACGTCGGGACGGAGAATGTTCAGGTTTAGATTGGATCAATCATTTAAGACTACTTGGGTTTAGTTACGCATTATTTAAATGGTTCGGAACTGACCTAATTTGTTTTGATTAATTTGTGAAGGATGATAATGTGAGTAGTAGTGGAATGGAGCCTGACCAGCCTGCTGTAATTGCAATGTTGCACGGTGTCATCTCGCCGGAGATGGTTCAAGACCTCTACAGTAACGAGGTTCAAAAGCAGCTGGAAGCTACGCAAAAATTTAGGTAAATAAATAGTAAATATAGAATTCAAGGCACAGGGTTATTTTGATTGCCCAGAGCCGAAATCTTCTCATCCGTACTGTTAACAAACATGGGACGTCCCCTACTGTGAACGTCATAAATACATCCGTAACGCGATCTTGATATCAAAATTAAAGTGATTAATTCGGTTTGAATTTAACGATTACGTCATCTTTTATCTAGAATCTTCTGAAATATATATGATAAGAAGTAATGTTGTGTAACTTGAACATTGTCGATCTAATATTATAATATCTTTTTTCTTTCTTGAATCTATGTTTGCAATATATTTATTGTACGTGAAGGAAAGCGGGAAAATATTTAGCGTACACTGTACATAGAAGCAACTTGGCGAATTAATTAATAATCCGGTTTCGCATGAATACGTGTAATCCAAGATCCGGATCAATCCAGATCTAAGTGTCAAAACATCAACCATAACATCGGGTGAAAACGTGCTCTTGCAAAAACACTTTAATGGGAACTAACTAAGGGGGGGGGGTGAGCTCTGAACCAATTACAAAAGTTAAAAAGAAAGACGACAATTTCGGAAATTTGTTTTTGATGAAGAGAATTATTAAGACTATTTTTTTGTTTTTTAACGGGACGGATACAGGATCCGCATCCGCATCAAAATGAAATTGATCCTGGACATTGGTTATATTTGAAAAAATTTAATTTTTTGATATCCTGGATAGTGGATAACGGTTTGTAAGATTAGCTAAACTCTCCTCTCTTACTTCTTAAGATTTCTATTATCTTACCCATCATAATTCATTTAATATTTAGAAAACTGCTATCTCGTGAGCCGAACCCTCCTATAGATGAGGTTATACAGACAGGGATAATTCCAAGATTCGTAGAGTTTCTCAGAACTACGGACAATTCTATGCTCCAGGTAAAGGTTTCCAATAAATGTCAAAACGGAAGAACCAATCGGGTCCAACTTTTGTATAGCAACCCACATGACCTAATTATTATTTATTAAATGGTCAATTTTAACCGGAAAAAATGTCGCCTTGTTTTGAAAATGCCTTTATAGTTTGAATAGATAAATCCGCGAAATTTGTTTTAAAAGCAGGCGACTTTCAAAGCACAATATAGTAGCTAAGATTGTAATAGAAAATTTTACTCAATAATTCTAGTATTTTTGTATTTTAATTATTATTCTTTTACATTTACTTTATAGTTTGAATCTGCTTGGGCCTTGACAAATATTGCCTCCGGAACTAGTATGCAGACCCGGAAGGTTATTGAGGCCGGTGCAGTTCCCATCTTCGTCTCTCTTCTGCTCTCGGAGCAGGAGGACGTCCAGGAGCAAGCTATCTGGGCTCTAGGAAACATTGCTGGAGATTCTCCGGACTGCAGAAACTACGTGTTGGATCAGGTTTGAATATTTTAATGTCTTTCAAGTGAAAGGGACTGTAAGCGTAATTTCAAGTAACCTTCCAAAGTTGCATGTCTGATTCATAACGGTTCCTGTTAAACCTTTGTCCGGACGATGAGGTAGATACCCTCATTTGTATAGCTGAAGATTGAGTGCCGGGAGACTCGAGGTTATTGTGTACACTGTACTCTCTGTGCTAGTGTACACTCGCACGGTTTTCTGGCAATTAATTTACCGCAATATAAAAAATATCTACGAATCCTTGATCAAACAAAGTTTTAAATTTTTAAAGTTGTAAATCGACATGCAACTCTACTAATGGAATGTCACTAGAAATTACGGTTACAGCTTACAGTCCCTTCAAATGTAAATTATAACAGAATTTTGACCTCTTCTTCTTTAGTTGTAAGAATTCTTAATTTTCAATCTTTATACCGACAGTTTCATTCAGTTAAATAATACATTCTAATCCTTTTTACGAGAACTTTCCGTCTGTATTCTGTATTGTTTATCTAAACTAGGGTATCCTTGAACCTCTTCTAATCCTCCTGACGAAAACTAACCGTCTATCGATGACGAGGAATGCAGTCTGGGCACTCTCAAACCTTTGTAGAGGGAAAAATCCACCTCCAGACTTTACCAAGGTATATCGTGGAAAAGTTGGCACATCAAACTGTAAAAAAACTATTGATATATGTCAACCACTAATATTTTAAGTTAGGATCCCAGCTTATCACTCAAAGATATTCCTGACAGAGAATTATCGGTTCACTGTAAAGTGTTTATTAAGAAAGCTGTGGGTTTTTTAGTGATTTTTTTGCGGATTAGCTTAGAACTAGGGTTTCCACTGAAAGCTAATTTTTCCTAAACTTACGCAATTTTGTGTGCTGTTTGCGCGGAATTGAGCAGCTTTGTGAAAATATTTTTTTTCGGTGGAACCCCTAGTTCTAAGTATCAAAAATCCCAAGAAATTGGCAACAACAAAAAACGTGATTTTCTGCGTGAACATTATACAGATATTTTCGCCGGATTAACCATGATAATTCGATGATCGCACACGTCGACTCCTATTTAAATAATCGTAATTGAATGATAATATCAGTCAGGTATTTGCTGCTCTTGGAGTATCTAATATGTATGCTCCTGTTCAACAATATTAATGTCTAGGTATCTCCTTCTCTAGGAGTATCTAATATCTATGCTCCTGTTCAATAATAATATTGTCTAGGTATCTCCTGCTCTAGGAGTATTATCTTGTCTCCTGTTCAACAATGAATGATAATGATAATATTGTCTAGGTATCTCCTGCTCTAGGAGTACTATCCAGTCTCCTGTTCAACAATGAATAATAGTAATATTGTCTAGGTATCTCCTGCTCTAGCACTACTATCCAGTCTCCTGTTCAACAATGAATAATAATAATATTGTCTAGGTATCTCCTGCTCTAGCACTACTATCCAGTCTCCTTTTTAACAATGAATAATAATAATATTGTCTAGGTATCTCCTGCTCTAGGAGTACTATCCAGTCTCCTGTTCAACAATGAATAATAGTAATATTGTCTAGGTATCTCCTGCTCTAGCACTACTATCCAGTCTCCTGTTCAACAATGAATAATAATAATATTGTCTAGGTATCTCCTGCTCTAGCACTACTATCCAGTCTCCTTTTTAACAATGAATAATAATAATATTGTCTAGGTATCTCCTGCTCTAGCACTACTATCCAGTCTCCTGTTCAACAATGAATAATAATAATATTGTCTAGGTATCTCCTGCTCTAGGAGTA